CCCCAGGCTCCTGCGCGCTCTGCAACCCTGTTTTCCTGTTCGCAGGTGCTGCGCTGACCTCAGCTTCAGCTGCTGCCTGCCGGAACGGCGTCTTTCATGATGGCACCGCCTCTTCCACTTACTTATTTCTTTTTCACGGACGCGGCTCAGTCCGTGGGTTTTTGGGGGTCATATCAAGGCCAGTGGTTAGCTGCACCCTGGCCCCAAGGACTTATTACCCCTATCACTATAATCCCTGCATTCAACACTCCGAAAGGAAGGTGCCGTCACACTTTCATTATGCATTATTTTTCCCCTGTCCAGATAAACACCTGATGAAATGCACTCCTCCATGCACGGAGAGGAGATTCAGATGGGCTGCTATTTCTCTCTCTGTCAAATGACGTCATGTTTGCGTAATGTATCCAAGCCCATTTAATAAATCCGGCCGGTCTCCTGTGATCTCCCGATTCTCCAATACCGGCCGCTGGATTAGAATAGCCGCCGCACTCCAGCCTGCTGGGCCTTCCTCACTCTTCCCTACAGCAAATGGGTCAATGGTCCACGGCTTGGTCCTGCCTCATCCTCTATCAGACTAAACACTGACACTATTCTGACTGCTCAGCGCTCCCTCTTCAATCTGAGGTAATTATCAAATACTCTGGTGGTGGCTAAGGCTCTTCTCTCACATAAGCATTCTCAACATCGTTGCACTTCAATCCGGACATGCATATGATCACCTTGTCTTACATCATACATTCATGCTCACCGCAGCGCTCTGTGCAGAGAAGCTTCTCTGCATAACCCCCTACGGCTCACGCTATACACGCACCTCACGAAGCGGCCTGTGCGCGAGAGGCAGCTCCGCACGCCCCAAGGGCCCACGCTTCTACACGCATAGTCATTACAGAGCGTGCGGCCTCGTCACCCCCGCATATTCTCTGTATCATACGCTGACACACGCATGCTCAAATATAGCAGATCTTGTATGAGAAAGCTCTCTACATTGCTGCTCCACATTCTCAACACGCAGAGCCCGCATCAGCTCTGCGATTACACGCATTTACTCTTCACTTCATGCATCCACCACGCACGCATGATCACATAGCCGCTCATTCAGTGAGTGTCTGTTCCCACAGATCCCCTGCGGCCTACGTCATACATGCACCCTCACGAAGCGGTCTGTGCGCGAGAAACCCTCCGCACGCTCCAAGGGCCAACGCTTCACACACGCATAATCATTACAGAGCGTGCGGATTTGTCACCCCCGCATATTCTCTGGATCCTATTCATGCAATTCTGCTTCCAGGCAATGCTGCCTCCATGCAATGCAGCCTCCACGCAATGCTGCCTCCAGGCTATGCTGCCTCCATGCAATTCTGCCTCCATGCTATGCTGCCTCCATGCTATGCTGCCTCCATGCAATGCTGCCTCCATGCAATGCTGCCTCCATGCAATGCTGCCTCCATGCAATGCTGCCTCCATGCAATGCTGCCTCTATGCAATGCTGCCTCCATGCAATCTATGCAATGCTGCAATGCTGCCTCCATGCAATGATGCAATGCTGCCTCTATGCAATGCTGCCTCTATGCAATCCATGCAATGCTGCCTCTATGTAGGGCTGGGCGATATGGCAAAAAAGTAAAATCTCGATTTTAGTTCCTGCTTTGGACGATGTCGATTTTAAATCGATTTTCATTAAAGTCACTCAAGACAGACTTTGCCCTTAAAATATTGTTTATCTACCCACTCAATATTTAAGTTTCAAAACTATTTTTATTTGTTTCCCCCAATACATATTATAAAAGTCTTGTTCAGACTGTGCTGATATCGCAAGTGTAATTGATGTGCTGCTGGAACTCTCACAATATCCCTCATTCGATTTCACGATTTTCCAATTTTTCACGAATTCGATTTTTTCAAAAGCCGATTAATTGCCAAAATTCGATTTATTGCCCAGCCCTACCTCTATGCAATGCTGCCTCCATGCAATCTATGCAATGCTGCCTCCATGCAATGCTGCAATGCTGCCTCCATGCAATGCTGCCTCTATGCAATCCATGCAATGCTGCCTCTATGCAATGCTGCCTCCATGCAATGCTGCCTCTATGCAATCTATGCAATGCTGCAATGCTGCCTCCATGCAATGATGCAATGCTGCCTCTATGCAATGCTGCCTCTATGCAATCCATGCAATGCTGCCTCTATGCAATGCTGCCTCCATGCAATCTATGCAATGCTGCCTCCATGCAATGCTGCAATGCTGCCTCTATGCAATGCTGCCTCTATGCAATCCATGCAATGCTGCCTCTATGCAATGCTGCCTCCATGCAATCTATGCAATGCTGCCTCCATGCAATGCTGCAATGCTGCCTCCATGCAATGATGCAATGCTGCCTCTATGCAATGCTGCCTCTATGCAATCCATGCAATGCTGCCTCTATGCAATGCTGCCTCCATGCAATGCTGCCTCTATGCAATCTATGCAATGCTGCCTCCATGCAATGCTGCCTCCATGCAATGCTGCCTCCATGCAATGCTGCCTCTATGCAATGCTGCCTCCATGCAATCTATGCAATGCTGCCTCTATGCAATGCTGCCTCTATGCAATGCTGCCTCCATGCAATCTATGCAATGCTGCCTCTATGCAATGCTGCCTCCATGCAATCTATGCAATGCTGCCTCTATGCAATGCTGCCTCTATGCAATGCTGCCTCTATGCAATGCTGCCTCTATGCAATGCTGCCTCTATGCAATGCTGCCTCTATGCCAGCCATTCCCAAACTCAGTAACACCGAGGCCCCCTTAAAAATCTGACGGGTCTGCGTGGCCCCCCAAAATAATAACCAAGAAGACAACATTAAGAATAGGCTCTTCTGGTTATTTTATTTTGGGGAAATAGCCTCTGCTACAAACATTGTAATACAAAAATGATTACAGTGGATTATTCAAGTCAAATAATGAACACAAATATTTTAATATTACAAACAAAACAATTATAAATTTAACATTAAATAATTATATATTTTTTTATGACCTCCCGTGGCCCCCCTGCAGTACCCTCGCGGCCCACCAGGGGGCCGCGGACCCCACTTTGGGAGACACTGCTCTATGCAATCTATGCAATGCTGCCTCTATGCAATCTATGCAATGCTGCCTCTATGCAATGCTGCCTCTATGCAATCTATGCAATGCAGCCTCCATGCAATGCAGCCTCCACGCAATGCAGCCTCTATGCAATGCTGCCCCGATGCAATGCTGCCCCGATGCAATGCTGCCCCGATGCAATGCTGCCCCGATGCAATGCTGCCCCGATGCAAGGCTCCCACGCCTCCAGATAGGCAGCTTCCCACGGGAGGCCTGCGCATTCCCCGGCACACATAGCGTGGCTTCCTCTTTTGGGGGATCTGAGATCATCTCAGCTGCAATCGATCTCATAGCTGCAAGTGTCACTGCCGGGGTCAATGCGCCAAACAAATAAATCATTTTAATGTATTTATCGTGTCTTTGGTCTCTTCAGATTGAAATGAAGCTCAAGCGGATGTTCAGACTGAAAGACCGAGTGCCTGCCAGCCTCGAGCCTCAGCCAATCACACAGCTCTGCCAGCCTCGAGCCTCAGCCAATCACACAGCCAGGCCAGCCTCCTGCCAACCCTCTCAGAGCAAAGCGGGCAGTTTAAAAGGCAGCCACTTCCTGACAAACAACGCTTCCTGAGGCTCTTAAACACCCACCACCTCCCCAGCACCCCCTCTGGCTCTTGGCTCCCGCTCTGGCTCCCGCTCTGGCTCCCGCTCTAGGCTCCCACTCCGGCTCCTGCTCCGCCTACGCCCCATTCACACCATACTCTAGCCACCACCAGTGATTGACCCCGGGGGATCTGAGATCATCTCAGCTGCAATCGATCTCATAGCTGCAAGTGTCACTGCCGGGGTCAATGCGCCAAACAAATAAATAATTTTAATGTATTTATTGTGTCTTTGGTCTCTTCAGATTGAAATCATGCCCAAATAGTGGAATATCAATACTTGGAGGAGAGCGTGTGATGCCCTGGGCATTGTTCTGGAGTTGGGAGAGGGGTGGGTGGTCAGAGAGTGATTGGGTCAGTGTGTGTTAGTGTGTATGTTTGTATGTATGTGTCTTTATGTCCTGTCTGATTGAGTGTGGCGTGTAAAGGAGGGGATTGGAAATATACAAGCGTTTTCTTCCTCCAACCCCCTTTCCAAACCTTGTATGTTGTAAAGTATTGTATCGTTCTGTTTGTCAAGTTATATTAATGCTGGTTTTGGAATAAACAAATACATGAATAAAAATGAAAATGAACAATGGTAATCAAAATAATTCTGATGCCGATTCCTGTGTACTAATTGTTTGATTCTCTAATCTATTGCTGATGAAATCAACAACTTTGTTAAGTCCTCTGAGCACTGATCTGACTCTCGCAAGACCCTTGTAGTTCCGCCATGCTCCACCAGAGGCGTTTCGCTTCACGCACAAGGGTCTGGGATCAAGCGCATAGCAAACTCCTTCAGTAGATCAGAAAATAATGGACCAATCAGGATCCCCGGTGTTACGTAGGGTTTGCAACTTCTCAAGGGTGTCTCAGGCGGCAACAAAAGCAATCCAAGATGGTGGACATAAAGTTTATATACGAACAAATTAAGACACGGATGTCACTTTTAATGCAATATGAAGCGAGATGTTGATGGTTCCATGTTGTTATATGTGTGTTTTAAGAGTCAAATGTTTGTGTAAAAGTTCGCGCAGCGATCTACAAGAGTCTGGCGAGAGTCAGGCTACTGATTTAGGGCAGATGTTTCAATAAATCTGAAGTTTATTGAACTGAACTGATCAAAACAGGTGCAGTGATGGTGCATTTTGCAACCTCAGGAAAACACTTCAACTACTTCAGTTTTTAAGAACACAAAAAAACATCTCCTTGTTATAACTGAGAAAAGTACACATCATTGTCACAAGGTTAAGAGGAGAAAAGTGGAGGAAAGTGGCTAAATAGAGGACTTACCGGCACTTGAGGGTGTAGAAGTTCCCCTCCAGTTTGACGAGTGGGTAGGACGGGGGTTTGGGCAGCAGGACGGGGACAGTGCCGGTGCTCGTGCGCCGGTGGCTGTCCCGCTCTGCTGCTTCAGGACCGGACGGGTGCTTCAGGGGCCGACGCTCGAACCCTGCGGAGACAACATGATGTTAATAACTGAAGAAGACACAGGGGCCAGTTTGCACAGTCTCCCTGTGTAGGTTTTCTCCAGGTGCTCCAGTTTCCCCAATAGGACTAAAAGATCACAAGAAGCCTTTAGCTAATTCTGGTGTATTTACAGCAGTAGAGGTTCATTTTTACATACTGTCCCATTCAAATACTTAAGTATATAAGTATATAGTACCCTGGCAGATGTGTTTCTCAATAAGTGATTTATGAATCACCAATAGAGGTGCTACCAGGCCGCGATTGCAAAAACAGCAGTTTTTTTCCTCCACCACAGGGTTATGTTTTTCCCAGTGTTTGCCAGATTTTCAGGAAACTTTCAGGAAATGGAACAAGGAACAAAGGATCAGAAGTTGTTTTTGGTTTTTTTAAAGAAAGGAACTCTGCATCCTGGCGGGTGTCTGTTCTCTACGAGTGCTTTTCTAATTGCCCTTATTTACTGTGGATCATTATTTTGGCAAAATCACCAATTTATCCTTTTGTCAATTACATTGTTAATAAATACAAGGAAACCAGTGCGATGCCCACAGCATGATACTACCACCCCCATGTTTCACTGAGTCTTTGTTCTGGACCATGATCAGCAGGATATAACTGATATAATCTCTCTCTTGATTGATCTGTACTAGTGTTTCCTTTTAGTTCTGTACAAATAGGATGTCAACATTTTAGAACTCGTTTAGCAAGCTGACAGCTCACATCCGACTGAACCCCACTGCTCTTGATAAATAATGAAAACTATTAGTGCAGTTAAGAGTCTGTAAAGCACAGGTGAAGTGCCTTGCCTCAGGACACAACAATAGCTGTACACAAGTCATGTTTTAGAGCTCAGGTACATATCTTTTGTTTTTGTGTGAATACATGCAACAGTAATAATACACAATAAGTCAAAGTTGTGCAGGTAGTTTAAGGTTATTTTCATAATTTTTGGGGCCCATTACCTGCTCATGTATTCATGATGCAGACAAGGCAAACAACTGTCATAATTAGACAGAACTAACTTTGTAAAACGACTGTGCTAAAAGCTTTGTTAATGCTGATTCCAAAGTGCTTTGTGTCAAAGGTGACATTTAAAACGCAGCACATTGTTGGAGATTCTTAAAACTGTATAATGACACATTCATTATTAAACAGCTCTGACGGAAAACACACTGGAGTCGAGTGAAATGGTTATGTATTTAGTAAGAAGCAGCAGATGTACCTCTGAGCATGCGGACGTTGAACTCGCTGCGGGCCACCTGTGCTAGGAGAGGAAGGCTGCCAGGGAGCCGCGACAGGACGGGGCTACTGTCCGCAGGTTTGGGGGGCGTGACGTCCCGGTTGGTGCTGGATTCATCCCCGGAGGTCTTTGAAGGGCAGTGGGCGACCTCACGGTTTACAGGAGGGACCAGGCTGACTGCCAAAGATGAAGACCACTGAGAGGCAGAGGAGGAAGAGGAGGAGGAGGCCGATGCTCTTGGGGACGAAGCAGGGAGGACATGAGGGGAATCCGGAGACACTGACACAGGCGACCTGCACTTCTGCTGAGAACAGGAAGAGCAGCGTGATCGGCATGAGCAGTTTACTCTATTCATAATGTAGGGATAGATATAACTCAATACAACTCATCGTAGGAGGTTAATAGTGTCACATATTTAAATGAGGGAAACCATTTAAGACAATCTTCTCAATGCAAAGAAAATCTACGTTGTTGTTGTGACTGTACATGACAAACGGATAAAATACCTTTATTTGTAACAAGAATCCAATCAGAGAGTCGAATAATTACAATGTAAGAAACATTTATTAGATTTAATTAAATATGTAATCTCGTCTATAATTAGATTGTCTCCAGGTACTGACTTCAATTAGGTGAGTAAGAATTGGTGTTCTGGTATGAATAACTCTTTACAACTTGAATGACAAGGACATTGGAAATGCAATCTGCTCTGTATTTGTGTCACATATCAGCTCAGAGAAAAGGTGTTAAGAGTGACGCAAATGCACCAGAAACTAATTCAGGAGGGAAGAAAGAGGGGAAGAAAAAAACAGACATTTTCTTCTATCAACAGCATGCCATAATTTATCTGAAGATGAAACATAAGCTGCCAGGCACCCTGGTTACTATGGCAACTATCAAGTCGATAGCTGAGTTGTTCTGGCATCTGTCCCCGCAGTGATTTTTGCAGGGTGTAAAGACATAGGATCTACAGTAAGGCTCAAAGCTGTTAGACAACATGTCTGAGGCTTTCCAAGACGCTAATGTCTGTCGAGCAACCAGCCGGGGCTCAGATCTCCTGCAAGATGTCTCCCTTTTACTGCAGCAGGTGACAAGTCTGCGCGACCAAAGAGGCCGGTGATCAGTCACAGCATCTGGAAAATACTAGTGCACTGTGCAATACTCAACCAAACAGGTGATTGCTAATCTCAAACATTCTCATCAGAATTAGAGATCAACATCATTTTCTCTTTCTCAAAAATACAAAGTGATTTTCCAGTTCTTTTGGAGATGACTGTAAAAACAATGTCAGACAAAAGACGGTGACCGATGACCTGAACATGTCCTCACCTTCTTGAGGGCGGAGCAGTTTCCCTGCATGTAGCTGCGGTGCATGTCCAGCACTTTCTGAGGCCTGCTGCGTATCCAAGCGCTGAGCGTCTCAATGGGAGAACCGTTCACAGACCACTCGGTCACCCCAAACTGCCTGAGGTGAGCTCGGGCGTGACTCGCCAACGCCTTGCGGTTCTCAAAGTAAAAACCACAAAGCTCGCAGCTGGGATCAGCTGATGGAAGTACACAAACAATCAAATACGTCAACATCATTTAAACAGACACACATTTGCAAAGACTGACTTACGTCTGTGCTTGACTGAAGGGGACATGCTCTTGAAGGATAAGTCGTGTGGCAGAGGGGGGTAGTTCTTGAGGTGACCCAGGGCTGAGAGGCCGAGGTCCGCTGACAGACTGTCCTCTGACAGTGGACGCTTTCCCAGAGTGGACATTCCAAAAAGTCGCCCTTCAGATAGTACCGCAGATGTTCCCACAGAGCTGAGCCCTGCTTTGTGCACTCTGAGTCCTGACTGGAAAAGCGTGTGAGGAGACTTGTGCAGACAGGACAACTGGTAGCTGGACGCAGCGTCAGGACTGCTGGTTTCCCCAGACTCTTCCTTAATCTCCAGCTCTAAAGACGATGCAGACGTAAGGCCTCTTTTGCGCATCACTTCTCTCAGAGTGTCGATGGGTGAGCCGTTGACGGACCACTGTGTGATGCCCATCTGTCTGAGGTGGGAGCGGGCGTGACTCGACAGGCCTTTACGGTTCTCAAAGTACTCTCCACAGAACTCACAGCGGATGTCCCGAGTTGGCTCCACTTCATGAGACATTGCTGAAGAAAGAAACATTGAAGGGCTTTTATACATTATACACTTTTTCACACATGTTTAAGTGAGATGGTGCCAAAACCAATCGCTACTTGAATCTACAGAACCATTTGAATATGATAAAAAATTACTTAACTAGTTTATCACTCTCAAAACAGTTTGCTTCTATCACTAATTTTCACATGCATGCATTCATTTCCTACGTCACATCTTCATAGAAAACCTCTCAGCCTAAAGTATCAAATAGTGACTCAAAGGACTTTTTCTTACAAGAATGCAAAAGAACATGTGTTCATATAAGATAAGGATAACATGTTGTACTCTGATGTGTTCACAAAATCTATTTTGTGAGTCTGTCTGTTGGAACAAACAACATGCGTTATATTAGAATAAAATAACAAGGTACTCTCCTTGTATTTAAATTGCCTTAACAAAAAAGATAGCAACTATAATGTATTACTATGTATTCCATCATTTTAAAATAATAATTTATTATTTCGTTCGAGCACTGTTCCCATACAATACAGCTGTTTCGGATTTACTGTTGTAGAAAGATAATTAACAAACCACAACAAGCTGTCTTTATTAGAAATCATGTGATCTATCTCTAACTTGGACTGAGAGCTGATTGGCTGAATCAGGAAATCATCTGAAAAGCTGATCTGAACTGTGACAAAAATACATGTGTGATGTGAAAACTAGTGATAGAACCAAAACAAGGTAACCGCATATGGATAGTGGTCTATGGATTTGATTATATACTGTAATTCCATTCTTCTGTGGTTCAAAAAGTCAAGTATCCTAGCTTAAATCTTAATTAGTAAAGCTGCCTGTTCTGGAGGTTCTTTATGATCTAGACTCTTGCACCGAGTTCTCAAAATAATGACTCTTCTCGCCCCTGGAGAAGCCATGTTCCAGCTTCTTCCCTCTGGCAGAAGATATTGATCGTTGCGATACAGGACATCGTTTTGCTAACAGCTTCTTTCCACAAGCTGTTATCAGTTCAAACAGAGCACTTTCATGATCTTGCACTTGTATTGAAAGACCAATTTCATATTGACAATTGTTTCCTGCACTTTTTTAGTTTGTTTTATTCCTGTACTTTTAACCTTGTTTTATTTATGTTTTTGCCTGGTCCACTCTTAGGACTTAACCAAATGTATTCCAATGTGGTTTTACTGCAACTGGTAACTAAAATAAGGCCCCGTTTGGACGGAGACACTGCGTTTTCACCCCCCTGAAACACCGTCTTTATGTAAACCGGTACCCAACTCTATCGTTTTACTGTGGCAGCATCTCTGTCTAAACAGGACCTAAAGCAGCTGCAGTTTAAGATAAGATAAGATAAGATAGAATTTATTGAGCTGACAATGGAAATGTTGTAAATCGTTGAAGCAGTGAACATAAATAAAACGTACCCAGGTTGAGTGCATGCGTGCTGTTGGAGCCGACCAGAACGGGGCTTCCAGAAGAGGTGCCCACGGACGGAGCCACTGTCCTGGGACCGCTCACATCCACCTGCACAGGCTCGGCTTTGGGCTTCAGGAGTCCGCTCACAGGGGCCGCCGGAGGGGCCGAGTTCAACCTGGACACCATCCGAGGAGGACTGTGGCGCTGCGCAAACGCAAAGGGCAGGCGTCCGAGCAGAGCGCTGGGGGGTGAGGAGGCGCTGGACACGGGGGAGCGAGGAGGAAGAGCCGGAGAGGAAGGGTTCCTGGCAGGTTTCAGAGGCAGAGCGGAGGGGAGACCGCGCCTGGCGATCAGATCCCGCAGAGTGTCGATGGGAGAGCCGTTGACAGTCCACTGCGTGATGCCCATCTGTCTGAGGTGGGAGCGGGCGTGACTGGACAGGCCTTTACGGTTCTCAAAGTACTCTCCGCAGAACTCACAGCCGATCTCCTTCAGAGGTTCACCTAGAGAAAAGAAATTATTATTCAAATTAATTTTATGCCTGCCAAGTTGAGGATGTCTCTTGTGTAACAGATGACCAAATGAAGCATCTTGTAATCTGCAATTTTCTTGCAATAGAATAAAAGAAATACATAATTTAAGACTAACTTTCAAACCACAAAAAGGGAACTTTGTACTCAAATCCATCGAACTCCCTCCCTGCAAGCATTTGTTGGCTTCTGTTTTTATGTTTTTCTGTGGTTTCTTTAAAAGACAAGTCAGATGTTTGATCTCTTTATACAAAATTAACCTTGTATAATGAATATTGGCCTCGGTCACATCTTTTGATAAGCGTTTTAGACAGAAAAGTGTCAGGAATAAAGATTCAAACATCAATTACTGCAGATCGGGTGCGTTGGAGGAGAGGCCTTTATTCTCTTTATCAGAAAAGTGTAAAAGAGATGACCACCATAAGCATCAAATAGTGACCCACGAGGATTGCGAGGCCCTTTTTTATACAGATTTTATACAGATTTTTTTTTAGACTGATTTGTTCACAACATCTAACTTGTAAAAGACTCATTGAAATTGAAATAATTGAAATCACATTGAAATCTATAAATTATATATTTGTTCTTCTTCATTTCAGAATCTTCAGTTGGATTAAATAGATCAAAAATAGGTTTAGCATCTTCACACCTTTACTTTGTTTGTAACTAAAGACACAAATGAGAAAGTGCTTACGGAGAGGAAGTGACATGAACTCCCCACTGCTCAGGCGGAAGATCTGCATGGAGGCGGGCTTGAGGCGCTTAGCGGGTGGTCCGAGGAGTGGAGAGGCGGAGGTAGTCTTGGAGGTGGTCACCTTATACAGCAGAGGAGAGGAGGAGGTGGGGAGCGAGAGGAGAGGAGGCTTTGGGGAGGAGAGTGTGCGGCTGAGACCCTGTCTGTCCACAGGAGCCTCCAGCTGAAGTTCTCTGGCCTTGTGCTTGAACTCGTCGCTCTCTATGAGCTGCGTGAGGAGGTCTATGGGTGAGCCCTTGGATTCCGAGTACTCCACTCCAAAATGGCGCAGGTGGGCCCGGGCGTGGCTGGACAAGCCTTTTCTTGTCTCGAACCAAGCTCCACACAGCTGGCACACGATGTCTTTGTGGCGGTCGGCCTCCAGAGCTGTCCATTCAAACAGAGACACATTACAACAACTCTTACCCTCAACAGGAGGAAGAACTAATGAAACAAAACAGTTTAAATGCCTTGGTCAAACAACTATTGCAGTTGGAAAAAGAACTTTCAAAAAGTATAACAATTGAAAGCTTCTAGAAATAGTGTCAAGTGTAAAAACTACAATTATATGACATGATATAAAAATAAATAATTAATAATATTGAAAGAATGTGCTTATTTTGGTGTGATGTGTATGAAATAAGTCTACAAAGAATTGGTAGACGTCTATAAAACGTCTACCAATTATGAAAAATTTTACGATTTGAATAGTTGACTAGATACAATTACTCCACTGAAGTATGACAAGAATGATGAAAAGGCATTTCCTTTTACAGGAGTCAGATAACCCAAGCAATGCCCCTTTGAACTCCAATTATCTCAGACTAAAACACATGGGAATAAGGTCTCTTGCCAAAGGGCACAAAGACAACACGCACGTCCTGTAGCTGGACTCAACCACTAAATCTTTTAATAAAAAGCACAAGTCCTGCCAACTGCTGTTCCACGTGTATCAGCAGTATGTAAGCAGTATGTAAGCCGTATGTAGGCATTATGTAGGCAATATGTGAGCAGTATGTAAGCAGTATGTATGCAGTATGTAAGCAGTATGTAAGCAGTATGTATGCAGTATGTAGGCAGTATGTAAGCAGTATGTATGCAGTATGTAGGCAGTATGTAAGCAGTATGTAAGCAGTATGTATGCAGTATGTAGGCAGTATGTAAGCAGTATGTATGCAGTATGTAAGCCATATGTAGGCATTATGTAGGCAGTATGTGAGCAGTATGTAAGCAGTATGTATGCAGTATGTAGGCAGTATGTAAGCAGTATGTAAGCAGTATGTATGCAGTATGTAGGCAGTATGTAAGCAGTATGTAGGCAGTATGTAGGCAGTATGTAAGCAGTATGTAAGCAGTATGTGAGCAGTATGTAGGCAGTATGTATGCAGTATGTAGGCAGTATGTAAGCAGTATGTATGCAGTATGTAGGCAGTATGTAGGCAGTATGTAAGCAGTATGTAAGCAGTATGTAGGCAGTATGTAAGCAGTATGTAAGCAGTATGTGAGCAGTATGTAGGCAGTATGTAGGCAGTATGTAGGCAGTATGTAAGCAGTATGTGAGCAGTATGTAAGCAGTATGTAAGCAGTATGTAGGCAGTATGTAAGCAGTATGTGAGCAGTATGTAAGCAGTATGTAGGCAGTATGTATGTAAGCAGTATGTGAGCAGTATGTGAGCAGTATGTTAGCAGTATGTAGGCAGTATGTAGGCAGTATGTAAGCAGTATGTAAGCAGTATGTAGGCAGTATGTAAGCAGTATGTGAGCAGTATGTAAGCAGTATGTAGGCAGTATGTATGTAAGCAGTATGTGAGCAGTATGTTAGCAGTATGTAGGCAGTGTGTAGGCAGTATGTAAGCAGTATGTGAGCAGTATGTAAGCAGTATGTTGGCAGTATGTAGGCAGTATGTAAGCAGTATGTGAGCAGTATGTAGGCAGTATGTAAGCAGTATGTAAGCAGTATGTAGGCAGTATGTATGTAAGCAGTATGTGAGCAGTATGTGAGCAGTATGTGAGCAGTATGTAGGCAGTATGTAAGCAGTATGTGAGCAGTATGTAAGCAGTATGTATGTAGGCAGTATGTAGGCAGTATGTAGGCAGTATGTAGGCAGTATGTGAGCAGTATGTAAGCAGTATGTTGGCAGTATGTAGGCAGTATGTAGGCAGTATGTAAGCAGTATGTAGGCAGTATGTAGGCAGTATGTAGGCAGTATGTAAGCAGTATGTGAGCAGTATGTAGGCAGTATGTAAGCAGTATGTAAGCAGTATGTAAGCAGTATGTTGGCAGTATGTAGGCAGTATGTAAGCAGTATGTAGGCAGTATGTAAGCAGTATGTAAGCAGTATGTAGGCAGTATGTAGGCAGTATGTAAGCAGTATGTGAGCAGTATGTAGGCAGTATGGCAGTATGTAGGCAGTATGTAGGCAGTATGTAAGCAGTATGTAGGCAGTATGTAAGCAGTATTTAGGCAGTATGTAGGCAGTATGTAAGCAGTATGTAGGCAGTATGTAAGCAGTATGTAACAGGGACAACTCACTGAGGTTGAGCGGGGCATCGTGGTCCAGCGGCGCCCACACGGGTTTGCTGACAGGAGGCGTGGACAAACTGGAGGTCAGGCTCCGCATCCCCCCGACTTTATACTCCAGGGAGCGCAGCGGGGAAGACACGGGCAGCAGCGAGGAGATGGGGGCTTTCCTCACTACTGAAGACGGAGAGGGGGCCAGGAGAGGAGAAGCCCCGGGGGAGGGGGTGGAGTGGGAGGTGGCGGGGGGCACGGCTTTGGCTGCTTTGGCGAGGAGCGAGGGAGAGGCGGGCGTCTTCTCCACATCCATGACTTCTATCACTTCATCACTCGCAGCACGGGGAGCAGAGGGAGAGCGGTCCTTGGCTGGAGTGTGTTTTTGAAGACGCCGTATTTGGCTGTCGAGATTGCGCTCCTTTGCGATTTGGTACAGGAAGTGGATGGGCGCCCCGCTGCTCTCGGAGCCGCGGATGCCCAGTTGGCGTAAATGGGAGCGGGCGTGGCTGGAGAGGCCTCGTCTGGTCTCAAACTGGGCTCCGCATACTTCACACTTCAAATAATCGTCTGCAGACAAACACGCTAGATTAGATGTGACTAATGGATTTGAAACACAGAACATGTGAATAGTTCATTTGCAAAAACATATATATGTGTAATTAGAAGAAGCAAATCTTTGAAATAGGTGCAGCTCTGACCGCCACCTCCTCCTCGACCCAGAAATTGATTAAGGAGAAGAAGATATGTGTAATTAGAAGAATAGGTATACAATTTGATCTTTACAAAGTTGTTTTTTGAAAAGCCAGATCTGTTTTAGTGCAATACAATTCATTCATTTATTTATGAAAAATATACACACAATGTATTAACAAATATTCACAAAATAAATATAATACAGGGATAGAAACAAAAAGACCAGTACATGTTTTGAAAAGGGATTGGATGAATCAAAAAACGTGTAATAAACAAATCCTCTCCCAGCCAATCAGACACACACAACAATAAAATACAAAACCAAAAAGAAGAAAAAACTTACACTTCAACACATGACAGAAAATATGACAGACACACATTAACAGCAACGGCATGAGACGAGATATTATGCACATATTCACACAGACAGGACACAGGCCCAAAACACTCACTGACCCTACACCTCTCTCATCACTTGCTCTGCGCTGAGGGCATCGCTCTCCTTCCTCCACATACGTCTTAAAAACTTTGTTTAATTGAATCAAATGTAAACACGTTTTGATTTATTTTCCTCTTCTATAAATAAAGTTTTAGCCCTTCTTGAGCAAATTCTTTCCAATGTTCTGCCAATAACAAAACATGTTGACTGTAACTAGGTAAATACAACTTTTGGCCCATTTTACCAAAACTGAGATATCTGTTTTTGCAAGTTAACTCTCTCTAGGCAAGGCAAGGCAAGTTTATTTATATGGCACAATTCAAACACAAGGCAACTCAAAGTGCTGAACAAAATAAGATAAGCCTTAAAATCATAAATAATCACAGAACAATAAAAATAAAGATACAAATATAAAATCCCTCAGTTGTATGCACAGCTAAACAGAACTCTTTTTAACCTGGTTTTAAACATTATCAGAGAAGAGGCCTGTCTCACATTTTCAGGAAGATTGTTCCAGATTTTAGCAGCCTCCCCATGTTTAGTCCTGACTCTGGGCACTAACAGGAGTCCCGTCCCTGTGCATCGTTTAAACTATCTTTGTAAATGCTTTTTCCTCTACTACTCTAACCACGCTTACAAAATTGCAATTACAAATAAACAGTAATATTCATAACCCCACAAAGAAGGTGTCTTTTTGTGTAGCCAGGTAAAGCGCTGTGTCCCAGGGGACCACTGCCCTCACTTAGCCTCTTGTCGACTCCCTGCTCTAGCCCTATGTAGAACTGCCTCATTTAGCTCCTAAGTACATTTGTCTTCCTCTCAGGGCGACCCCCGGGGACTGCCCTCTACGTGCACTTGTTTTTCCCCTCTTTCTATTCCCCCACTGACATGCATGATAAGGCTTCTCTGTGGCTAATCCCCGCATCCCCTTGTCGACACAGGATCACTCACCCTTGGTACGGGCGTCCTCCTGGGGCGACCTGTCTGCCTCCCGGACCAGGCTCAGAGCGGCCAGCTGCAGCGCGTCGCTTTCTTCAACAGACACTTCATCCTCTTCATCTGAGGTTCAGCAAAGACAGACACAGCAACTTCATCACTCTCAACTCTCAAACCCACACACTGTAAATGCTGATGCCTGCGTTTTGACACTGCTCTGACAGAAAAAAAAGATGTAGCATGCCCTGATTGTAGAAGCACAGTAAAGTAATCACATTGTCATAATTATATTTAAAGCCAAAACAGAGATAAACAGAGATGGGAGAAAGCATGTGTGACTTAGTTGTACATACATCTTCATGCATAATAATATACACACACACATATATAGTAATTACAACTGAATCATATTATACATGTTAGTCTAATAAATACTTTTCTATCAAACACACACAGCACTATGTGTTCCCGGATTGCTGGGACAAAAGTGCCATTTTCTGCGACAAATGGCAAAATCAAAAGAGACGCGGAGACAGACAATGCTTTTTGTCTGGTGGGCGGCTCTGCGCTTGTCACTTCATCTCCTGACTGTAAAAGAGCGGCTGTGTGACACCTCCGAGCGCAGCGTTACATCGGCTCTCAGCAAAACGCACAAACGCCACAATATGGCACAATGGCACGGCGTCATTAGCGGAGATTTGCAACGAGACGAAACGCACACATGACTTTACTAACAGCGCTGCTTAACCCCGAGCAAAAGTGTCACTTCTACTGCACTTCGCCTCTGCTAAGTTCTCCAAACACTCTCTCTACGTTTAAAGTGCTCAACTATGTCTACGGAGCGAGTCCTGTACGGGTTTGTAAGGATCCATGCATGCATACATACACTGGAAGGCACAGCACGTCCTCTATCAAAAATCAAAGTAAAATGGCGAGGATTGGGCAAGTGTAGGTAATTTTAGAGATCCTGCAGCATTGAAATACTGGACGTCATCCCAGACGTACTCAATGAAAGGCTCAGACAGGAAGAAAATACAGTAATGTGCGAGCCAATAGGAGCGGCACTTATTACCGAGCACAAAACAATCCAAACGCACGTCTATGGGGGCTGCTGACACGCGTGACAAGGGCGCACGGTGGGCTACCTGCACTACAATCATTTCTCTTTACGTGCTCCCTTGTGGAAAAGACTTTTAATGGCTGTTGTGTGGGGATGCTGCGCTCCGGGGATGAGACCGAGGATGAGACCGGAGCGAGCGCGTCTCTGCTGGGGGAACACGGCTGGAGCAGGACTCTCGCTCCGCAGCCGCAGTGCATTGGACTCCCAGCAGTCGTGGAAGCAAGTCGACTGCTTTTCCGCTATTGTTTGGGTCTGCAGGGAGGTGGAAGCAGCCATTTTGCCCCCATATGCACTGCTAAGCTTAAGGCGTGACCAATAATGGAAGGCGGAGGTTGGCATCAAATAAAGTGATGAACGCAGGGGGGCATAGGGGCTTCTCTGTATGAAGCCACTTAACCACTTCTGCATCAATCATCACTGATGTGGTGGAAAAGTAACACAAGCAACAAGACCAGTCCGTGCACTCAACTTCTCTATAGCAACTTTTCATGCAATTGTATTTCACCACAGTGCTATTGTGGCAGAGGAGGTCAGGATCAGGGCATGACCAAAACTAGACATCAGAACAAATAACATCTTACATTCAAGCCAACTAAACTGCCTAAACTGCATTCAATCACACATTTAGGTCGATGCCTTTTTAGAACCTTTGCATCGAGCAGATTTACAACAGTTTGAACATTGGATAATAGAGACCACACCATGCATATTTACACACACCTCCTGTCCGCGGTTTGGAGCTGCAGCTATAGGAAATAGTAACCCTTCTCCAAACTCAAGAAGCCCCAGGCATTATAGGAAGTCAAAGGAGTCAAACCATCAAAAACAAGCACCAACCAAATAGAAACCAACACACTCACATTTGACCCCTCCCTCAGGACAACAGATGGAAATGAGCTTTTAAGCTACAGCTTGGTTCAAGTATCTCTGCTTTATGTACAATAAAATATAATTGTACATTTTCCAAATTGCCAGATTGTGAGAGGGAGAAGGGAATACTGCGGGCACATCCAGCCACACTTACAAAGTTGTAACAGTTCAAACAGTGACTTCCATTCACACAAACACACATTATCACAGCCCTGTGGCACAATATGAATAAAGTATTTTAAAAAGTAGGACATTAAATACCAGAAACCAAACCAAACAACTGAAACGTTGACTTTAGATGACAAATACAATTACTACTTTTTTCATCTTGACATGGTCTGTCTTTTTGCATAATATAGTTTTTGCATGACATAGTTGAAACAACACTGGAGGAGAAACATCATCTGCTCATCTTCATAAAAATAGACAGTTTAGTTAAATAAATAGACCTCCTCCAGGACAATAGGATGCTACAAGGACATTTTTATTAGAATAATTGAATGAATTTGATTTTATTAGGGCTAATAAAAAAAAACAATTTATCACATATAATATTATTAGAAATCGATTAATGAGAGATTTCTTTTACTACTATAAGTTTAACTGTTGCAAATCACCTGCACAGGACAACAGTAGTTATACACAGAAAGGATTCTGCCTGGTGCCAACACTGCTCGGAATGTAACAGTTTGTTATGTAAAATAGTTTGTTAAAAATATCAATCTATTTTTAAAAAGACCTTAAAACAGAGGACCCAAATGCAAACAGTTGTAAACAACAAACCAAAGCTGGATAATCACAAATGATATAATCTTATCTTACCTTTACATTCCTTTATCTGGTCTTCATATTTCCAGGGTACGGAGGATTCTGAAATCTCCAGCCTTGACTCCTCCTCCAGCTTCACCTCAATGATGTCATGATCTTCCTCACTGTCCACCTCGTCCTCTTCGTCACACAGGCTGCGCGGGGGGGCCGTGGGGATGACCAGGTCCGGCCGGCTGGAGAACACCTCTCTGAGCACGTGGATGGGGGAGATGGTGATGTCCCAGTTGGTGATGCCCAGGTCTCGGAGGTGGGCTCGGGCGTGACTGGACAAACCGGCCCGCGTGTCGAAGCCAGCATTACAGAACTCGCAGTGCATCACGCTGAAGGTTCCCGGGTCAAAGTTGGCGACTGTGGACAGAACCAGAGTCAACTGTTTGTCTGATCTTTTGGCTCCTCTCAGTGTGTTCAATGTGGGGCATCAGCTGCAACCACGACTCAGGAGGGAGAAGATTAATGAATGAAGCAAACATTACACTGGATCTGCAAATCACAGAGGTGCTCTCGTCACTGCTTCGGATTCATTTTCTCCCATCCCCATTTATTACTGAGACGACAGACTGGTTTTAAAGAGTCAAGCCCTGATCCACCTCAGGGATATTGTTTTCTCATGAAAATGTAGGGAAGAGCTGTACATCTATAGTCTGGTGACGTTTTCAAAATACATTGGCATTTATAGGTAAGTAATATTTATTTACATCATGCTTTTCACATACGTTTCATTTACATAGACAATGTTTTGTGTTATTAATTCACTCAGATGTCCTGGGGCAAACTGACAAACGATGGTGATTTTGATTCCATGTGCCCTGCAGATGATTCTAACAATTGCCAGGAGGCAGAGAAGAGCTCAATTGTTAAAGCTTAAAGAGTTACAAACATGGCTGAGGCTCTGGAGAAGCTGAAAACACTAATAATGAAAGAGATCAGACAAGAGTGGAAAAGCACAGCCGATGTCTATTGTAAAGCACTGAATAAATATGTCTTTTATTAAGACTATGTCATAAAACCCAAACCAATGTCTTCAAACAAAGATTCAAACAACATGAAAACTAGAAAATGTCATGAGTTAAACAACTGAATTACTTATATTAAAATACATGTAATAAACATATTACGGTAACTAGCTATTATGGTGACTATTACTCCCAACACGAGGAATGCCCCATTTGGCATCATGGTCCCAAGTTGGGGCCTGGTTTATACTTGGATGGGAGATTGCTTGGAACACCAGGTTCCACAGTCAGACAGAGGAACTGAAGTGCTATAGGCAAGATAATTCAACCAATGAGAGTATGAACCTGGTGAGTGAGTGGATGATTGATGGTAGTTGAAAGCTTCAGTTTGCTTCTGTCAGTCTGACCCAGGGCAGCTGTGGCTACAGCAGTAGTTTACCACTACAGTGTATGGAGTGTATGAACTGTACCATGTGAAATGAGCATATAAAAAGTGTATACTATGAGTCACCTTTCTTCTTCTTCTTCTGATAGGAGAACCTCCTCTCGATGGCGTTGACCTCCTCTGGGGAGATGAAGTGACGCACGTTGTAGCTCACGCCCACTCTGTTCAGGTGTCCCCTCACGTGATTGGCCAGCCCGATGCCGTTATGGAAGCGATCAGGGCAGTAAGGGCACTTCCTCTCCACACTCTTTAGATCCTCTGTGTCTTCATACATCTCTTCTTCATCTATGAAGAGCTCAGACAGAGAGCGCTGTGCATCCTCCTCATCATCACTCAGCACCAATACAGGACCAGCACTGACCCGACTGCTCCGTCTCAGCTGCGACGCCTTCTCCTCGTCCAGCTTCTCGTCATTCCTCAGGCTCCTTCTGAGAGGAAGCGTCCTCGCGCTGCTGCACTGTGCTAAAGAGTCAGAGTTCAGGTTTACGTCAAAGGCAACTCTTTGTCCTTTAACATTTTCCTCTTCAGAATAGATTTTATAAGTTCCTAAGTTCGAGATTAACATGAAGGATATACTTACCGTAAGAAGTATTTGAGTATAAAACACGGTAAAAAGGTGCTTTTCACATCCTTGATACTTTTTCCACAGGACAATTTTGACATAAATAATTCCAAATCAAGACAATGTAATTGGTAAAATACAAATACTGAGGTATAGCCCTCAGTGCAGTGTCCTCTGCAGCTGTGTTTTACAGTGTATGCACGTTTTTTGAGAGCTGTCGCAGTGCTCAGACCTACATCGAACAAGTTTGACATCTCCGCAATCACACTTCAGCAGTGAAAAATGTATACAGTGTGTGGTGAGGGGTATTACAGCCTTAAAATATATCACTGCTTTTTAACGGATATCACTTATTACGGGTAATTTTTAAATCGTAACCCCCACGATAAACAAGGGACCACTGTATCAGAGTTGTTTTCCCTAATACCAGGAGGTACTCATGTCTCATGACACAGTGCAAAAAGGTTGGCAACCACTGCACTAGAAAGAACAGTGACAAATGGGGGTGAAAACAAAAGACTATAGCATTGGATATCTGCAATACTTTCACTCACCAATGTCGGACGGAGAATTCGTGTGCTGAGCGGATTCACCCTCTTGTTGACAAATACTTTCTGTTGTCTGCACTTGCCCCTCGTCCTCATTATCTGACAGCTTATCATACTCCGATCTGGAATTAACTCTGGCCCTTTTAACCCAAGTATCTCCTCTCTTGTTCAGTCCCATATCTGAAGCTATTCCGTCTGGCATTGTGCAGTCCTCCAAGGCACCGACTCCTCTGTGGAATTTCCCAGTCATGGAGATCTCCGAGTTTAAGACATATTTTGAATTCTGTCCGTTCTCTCCGTGGTGTGCGTGGTGTTTCAGGTGATCCCTCAGACCTTTTTTACTTGTCGTTCGGAAGGCACAGTACAAACAGGCGAGTTGAGTGGACGTGGGCTTGCGGTTGTGGGTCTTTTTGTGATTTGCCAGTGCTTGTGGCGTTCTTGTGCTGAAATTACACACAGGGCATATGAAACGCCGCCGATACCCTGTCTGCCCTCTCCCTTGAACCGGGCTCGCGACCATTGGAGCGTCTAAATCGACAATGGCAAAGTCTGCATTCTGGCTTCTCACTGGCGAACGGACGGTCAAGGCCTCCTCGTTGTCGTGCTTCTTAAAATCATCTACTTTCAACTTCTCAATCTCCTTCAAGATCGTTTCGCGTGATTCCAGGTGCTGTTTTTGATGCCCTTGCAATTCGGTGATACTCGGCAAGTTCCAACCGCATTCGGTGCACTTAAACTGGCCACTTTCCGCAGCCTGGTCTTGTTCCTTGCCTCCTGACGAGCTTTGCGAGTGCTCTGCCATGTGCTCTTGGAGGTGGATCTGTTTATTAAAGTAAATGCTACATTCTACACAAGTAAAGATTTGGTTATCCACCTCCTCCACGCTTTCCTCCACTTGTTCCTTTGCTTCTTCCAACGATACGTCTTTGTCAAAGTCCTGCATCCTCTCGTTGTCCTTGGAGCCTCTTTCCAAACCGGGGCTGGTGCCAGAGAACGGTCTGAGCAGCACTCTCTTCCTCCCGCAGCGTTGAACAAAGGTGCAGTGGGCCCAGGGAGCGGGTGGAGGACTCTCAGGGTCCGAGTCTCCGGGGAAGCTGTACACGTCTCTCTCCCGTTCGCTGCATTCTTTTCCCATGTGCGTTCGGGAGCCCTCTGTGTTGTTATCCTCCTGCGCCGGTTGGCAGGCTTCCTTTGGTGGGGATTTGGAGACGAGCGGCTCAAATGGCTCGCTTACATTCCACAGAGTGCTGTCAGTTGCTGTGAAGAGAACCAGAGGATCGTACGTAAGCAAGATCAAAAGAAACAAGCTGTGGTTGTCAGTGAGTAAGATTGGCAAGCTAAAAGTTGGCTAGTTTTGGGACAGGTTTTGTTTAAAGCTGGGGTACCTAACTTTCAAATCATACCCAATGGAATAATGAAATAAAACAAAGACAACATTTAAACAACCACCTAAAACAGTTTGGTTCTATCACTAGTTTTCACATGCATGTATTTTGTCAAATTTTCAGGCAGAAAAGTGAAAGAGAGAGGACTACACTCACTCAGCCAATCAGGTTTCAGCCCAAAATGTCAAACAGTGACTCACAGAGCTCTTTCTTATGCAAAATATAGCATCTAATCAGATGAAGGCAGCATGTTTTGGTCTGAATTGTTCACATTATTTTACCTTTACAAGACTCAATCTGTTGGGTACAACATCATGAATTTAAAAAAAGTTAGATACCCCAGGCCTAAGGTCTATTATTTCTACTGGATCACGTTCCTAGAGCCCTCCACTATGTGCAAAATGTATGGCCAGCTGCTCCGCCACTGCCCCCCTACACCACCCCATTCCAATAAATTGCTTTTCCTTTCAACCTTGCCATCAGAGTGAATTCTTGTGATATTTCTGAGTTAACAATCTCTTGAGGATTGATATTTTTATAGGCTATCACTATTGTGACAGAAGGCAGCTAACCATTCACAGAACAAGTTTCAAAAGTAGCCATCTGGACCAAGTTTTCGGATCACTTCTGGTCAAGTGATGGATTACACCGCTTTGCCAACAAACAAGTGATGCGCAGACTGGACCGATCTCATGGCTGCGTCGTGATTTGGTCTGCTATAAATGTAGAAGACAATAGAATATCTTTATTGTATACCGAGGTAGATGTTCACCAACATTGCATAAAAAAACACAAAAAACAGTGAAATTCGACATATAGAGTACAAAGGCTAATATCAATCCAAACAAACTTGGCCACACTGACACATCTACTCTAGTATTTTTCTTTTTCTCAGCCTGTTCCATTGTTTTGACTTTTTGGCTGTAAGTATTCCTCTGAATGTTCCGAATCTCAATCGCTTGCTGCAAGAGCTATTCTAGATTGATGTGTATAACATACTGGGCTTCTAAGGATTCAAAATACATTATATTATATTTACACTTTAAATTTCAAACTTCCACTGTTCTTGCATGCACACACAGCTTTTCGATATGTCACTGTTCTGTTCTTACCTTGATTTGCAAGCTAAAAGTTGGCTAGTTTTTAGACAGCTTTTGTTTAAAGCTGGGGTACCTAACTTTCCAATCTTACACAAAGGAAAATAATACAATAAAACCCATGTAACAAGCTCCTAGCTCTAAAACAGTTTGGCTCTATCACTAGTTTTCACATGCATGCATTTTAAAACACTTTAAGATCAGCTTTTTCTGACATATCAGTTAAAAAGAGAGGATCGCACTCACTGAGCCAAAAAAAATATTCTCACAATATTCCCCAGTTCTTGTATGCATCGTGCACACACAGCCTTTCCATATGTCACCGTTCTGTTCTCACCTTGGTTTGCACAGAGCTGAGACGTCCTGGACTCTTGGGGGTCTGTGTTTGGTGAGCTCTCGTCTGGCCCCTCCTCGTGGCTGGACGCAGGTCGCACGTGTTCGGTTTCTTGGCTGTCTTCACATTCAAGTCTGAGCCGCAATTAAAGCAACAACATTTTTGTGAAGTGGTTTTATTTTTGGGGCCAAAGATACTATATGTAGGACACGGGAGCCATGTGAGTGCTATTTTCAGTCTAAGATCTGCAGGTCTTAAAGTATGAGAAGTGTGCTGTGTGGGGAGGGGGCATTTTTCAAGCAGATGCTCACACGTAGCAAGAACATAGCCACTGATCCCTGAGAGAATACAACCAATCAGTAGTTGAAATGTTATCTTATGGACTAGATTTACCAGAGTGCTTTGATCATCATTCGACAGTGTGTTAAAACATCATAAATCATTTTATTAAGTACAAAGGTTTCAGCTTTTGGTTAAGTTTTAACAACATGAAAACCAGTGGCTTATATTTATGCAAACAAAATGTACTTTTTCTTATAATTTAGGCAATGGGGTTTATATACAGGTGCGCTTAATAGCTCAAAAAGTACTGTAATCGCATCACAACTTGTCTGCGGAGGAGTGGAGCCATACATTTGAGTTTGTTTCCCTGACACTTCCTTAAAGGGGCAGTGAGATGTGGGGCAAGAGGACAAAAAGAGGAGCTACAAGACTTCATCAAGATTTCTTTAGCTCAATCTAAACATTCCACATGAATCACATGATTAATAAAGAGCCACAGGGGCCATAGATTCTCACATAGGAGACAGGATCAGACTATGTCCTTTGGCACTTTGGAACGAAAAGTATTTCTCATGCATAAAAACAAAATGGTCTTCTCTAATAGCATAACAAGGCCAACAAGTGCGGACATGTTTCTCACCTGAGTCCTGTGGAGGGAGATGCAGGGCTGTGCGCGGCCAGACCGTGAGAATTTGACAGCTCTGTGATCTCTGCACATGGAACAGACACAACCTCAGAAACTCAACTTCCAAAACACATGTACTTATACTGATACTATTCCCCTGTATCTGGAGATCATTGTCCATACTGTGCTGTGCAGAAATCACAATTCATTGCCTGAGTCCTGGATCTACAGCCCGTCCGTCCGTGGGAGCAGATCCCTCTCTCAATGTGGTTCTCCCCGAGGTTTCTCACTTTTTCCCACTGGGTTTTAGAGTATTTCCTTGCCAATGCAGGAGGGTCTGTTGGACAGTTAGCGTCACTCTACACTAGGACACTCTACATTCAATAACATGTATGAGCATTTATCATCATTCCTGGACATTGATCAACTATGAACCCAAACCTATGGGCTCCCTATTCTTCGTGTTTGAACGGTTTGATTCTCTGATCTGTGTCCTCTGAGATAACTACTGTTGTGGTTTAGGGCTATGCAAGAATAGATTGAATTAAATTGATTTGAATTGCAGTAGAAAAGAAAAGCACATGTTTTTTGATGAAAGACAAAACAAAATCTCTTGGATTTGGGAAAACCTCTATTGATTTAAGTATAATTAGGACAGGCAAACATATTTTGTCTTGTTGTTGTTATTTTCTCATTCCAAATGAAACATCTCATCTTGTTCATCAGTTATTTAAACTGTCACAACAATTAACTACCACATTGTTGTGAGAAAAGATAAACACTACATATTCTAGTGTTTGTATATATTTGTATCTTATCAGTGGATCTTTTATTAATATTAGAAAAAGTGTTGAACTCAGAATCACCTGGAATTGCAATGTTGTATAATAAGTTTTACCAAAATTGGCACAAATGCCTTATGGCACAAAAAAATGGTTGATCTGTGTATTTTAAATTCTAATCATTTAACTAATCCTAATGTACAGATACACATGGCGAAACAACATTTTTTAATAATCATCTTTTCACAAGTAAAAATAGAACCACTTTTCAACAACTTCAATATAATTTCACATCATGTTTTTACACAAAGGACGACAGATTGTCATGTGGCATCATTTATAATAACGATGCCTAAAAATAGAATCCTCTCTGCAGGAATTCTTTCATGTGTCATCTTTGTGTCGGCACTGATGTGAAATGGGCTCATTTTGTAACCTGCAATTTTTACCGTAATACATTTAGTTTAGTTCATCAAGTTGCTTCTCTTACAACACAGAAGCTATACTTGTATTACTGAACTATAAACACACTGTGCGGCCATGTCATAATAACACATGTGATTAACTATTCATAACATCACAGACATGTTCACAGTGTGCATGTTACTGAGCCCTGCCTCGTAAAGCAAATGCTGAAGACGAAATACAATAAAAATAGAGGTCCTCCATCCTCAATGTGGAGCGTGTCACTTTCTTTTTTTCTTTTTTTTTTTTTGGTTGGTTAAATACATGCATAGTTGATCATAGAAAATGGGGCATGGCATGAGCTCTCAATGTATTATGTAAATGACTTAAACTGTACTCAAAAAAGGTTTGGCATAAAATCACACAAGACGATTCTTTTTATAAAGTATTGAATAAAGTATTGTTAATGGAGAGTTGATTCTGCCTGGAATTTCAAAGAAAATACAAACATCTGCCAATCTCTTCCATAAATTATGGTTTCTTTGCTTAGAAATCATTGTAATTTAGATACAATAAAGTAGAGAAATGCAATTTATAAGAAACCAAACGACCAAACGCATGTCAGTAACTTTCATTTTAGTGATATCCATGCATTAGGACATCACATCCAGCTCACTCCTAAAGATTATGTGTATTGTGTGGTCACTTTCTCTACTATACCCTTCCCTAGAAAAAGGTTGTTTGTGGGAGATGGTGGCCGGTTAGGCTGTCCTCTTGTGGTGGTTCCCTGCTCTCCCCTCTTCCTTCTGCTAAATGATTTTTCTCGGCTCGGAATTAACAGAGTGGAACAAAGGGTTCTCTTGCCTGAACTGACAGCCGCCAAAACAGCCGTTACAGCCGCTCTCAGACAGTGGGTTTTGACATCTATTGATTATTTTCTGTTTGGAACTGTTGGCAGTGTGCATGTGCGGTGCTAAGGAGAGTGTCAGTGTCTTATCACGCTTAATTACTATTGTTTGCTTTTCAGAATTATCCATTTTATTTTCTATTTTTGCTGCTACTGGACACCTGAATTTCTCCTACGGGGATCAAATAAGTATCTATCTACTGTATCTGAATCAACATGTTTGAGCCGTTAACTCCATCAGCTCCATCAAGGTTCATATCAGGAGTTTCTGGCCCAAGCATACTCCGCCCCTTCAGTCTAAATTCTCCTGTTTCAATCCTGTATACTAATAATATGATGTTGGACCACTGTGACATCACACAGTTTTGTTCCATTTGGACAAATGACAACTTTTGCCAATTCATCAGATAAAATCCTGTTCCTGACTGTTACAATCCCATGGCTGTGTTTGCGATCGATTATTCTCTATGTTTCACCCTTTATATTCTATTTAAGATATTATTTCTATATTATTTATTAATTATAAAAATGACAACGTAAATTTCGACCAAAACAATGCATGATATTCCTCTCTTTGCTGTGGAGTATGCAGATTATTGTGTGTGTGTGTGTGTGTGTGTTTAATGAATTGATTTCAAAAGATAAAGTGTCTGTTCATATTTCCAGTGTGACATCTCACCCTCCAGAGTCTCCTTCTCGGAGTCGGAGTCCCAGCTGAGTGAAGAGGTGAAGGCGGAGGCTCTCCACAGAGAATCCCCTCCTGGCTCTGGCCCCTCGCTCTGCTCACATTGGGCAGATGTTGAATTGTTGTGTTTATTTGGAGAACATGAGAGCTGCAAAGACAGACACAAATAGTTGGTGATCAATGTAGAGCACTTTATAGGCTTGATAGCACGTTTAAAAATAAGGTTTTCCTCACATTTCATAACACAGAAAGAGTACATAATTAATAGTGAGTATACCTTTAGAAGCATGGAGATGAAAAAGAAAATCATGAAATCGTGAACTATAGTAATTACTTTACAACAAATTTCTAATGTTTTGGCTATGTTTCAATCATTGGGACAATAACAGAAATTATTTTGGAGTTAAAAAAGCCCAACTAAAATTAGTTAGAGCCCAAAGTGCAGAGAGAGCCCTTTGTGGATATATTTCTGAAAATACATACAACACTACAGTTTGAAAACCTAAATTGTTATACTGTATCAAGGTTTATACAAAACAGATTTATACATGGATCTAACTTTCTGTTATTTCTTTAAATTCAGACTAAAATGCTAATGTTCAGAATACAAATATTGATTTCATGTTTTATTATCTTGCCCAGTAACTCAATACACAGCTATTATTGTCTAAAGAAACTGCTGGCAGAAAAGTGAGACCGACACGTCAATAATTTGTGTGGCCATTTCTTTCCAGCCCTGCTGTGACCCTCGAGCTCAAGAGCTTCACTGCTGTCACTGGTTTCCTCTTCCACTGCTCTGTGCAGTTTCTGGAGCTGGTGGACCTTCTGTTTAATGACTCTCTGCTGATGCCTGAAATGCCAGGGTTTGTATCCACTTTTGAGTGATCCTGAGGCGTGTGCAATATATCAGACAGACAGGGATGATTGGATCCCTCTAGCTTAGACCAAAGACTGTATATTAGCCAACTGAAACCCAATAGGGAAGTGCTCATGGGCGAAGCATTTCACAAACTCACTACGGCTTCCATTCTCTATAATTGAAGAGAACTACTTTTTTACATTAATTTTCACAGAGGCATCATTTTAAATGCCTCATGTCAGATTCAGATTTCAGGCCTTAAAAATGTGTGGTTTAACACTCTCCACATGATCCAGATGTTTCAATGTGATCATGTTTGTAAATATGAGCCGTAAGAACTGACCAAACAGACACGGACTGAGCTCACTCCTAATTGGCTCTTTTGTTGCTAGGAGGTTGATAAAAGAGCTTTTGGCTTAGACCCATTATTTGCAGATATTGAGTAGTGGTGCAGACCTGATTTCCCAAGCAGAGAAGCTTTATTTGAAACATAGTGTAAAAGTACTATGTAAATGATCTGCAAAACATAGTCAAATGAATGAACTAAACTAAAATCAGGGCAATATGCCCAGATTAAAACCAAAATGTGGTTTGGCTGCTGCGCTCGAAAAGTTAAGAAAGAACGACAGCCCAGAGAAGGAGGGTGAGGATGTACCTGCAGCATGGAGACAGGGGATGTTGGTGGAAGCTTTTGAACGTGTAAATCTAGGGTCCCATAGCTGGTCCCTGGGGTGGGGGGTCGGCCATCAGGCTCCATGGTCCCTCCCAGAGAGCAGTATGGTGACCCACAGGGAAGAAGTCAGTCTACATGGTGCACTCTGGGGTCCTTCTGGAATCACACACACACATAAATGTGGTCTACTAGAATGATAAAAAAGACGTAAACACAAATGATTGTTCAATGAAACTTTAGTAAGGGACTAAACGTTATCTTTTTTGAATGCTGCAAAACAAATAACCAGCATATCAAGCCAGCACTCCCTCATAGCATATCTGCCCTTTTATAATCTATATTTTATTCAATGGTCGTTCTATCCTCTTTTTAATTACTATGACAGCTGTAAATTGATGATGGATCAGGAGCATCCCTTTGAATGGATAAGTGGATAAGTAAGTTTACTAATAACTTGTAAATACTACACTAAACTTAATGGGAGCATCTGGATTGAAACTTCCTTGAGTTAATCAGGACTCATTCCTGACTCCTGTCCCAGTCACAAACCACTTGTTCCATTCTTGACTTGTTTTTCTTTTTTGTGAGACTTTAGCCCCAGCGTTGAGCCTATGACAACAGCGCTGTTTTGACCCATTTTCTCCAAATGTGTCAAAGGCTTGTAAAAAGCACAGTAAAAACAAGTGGCCTTTCCTTCAGGCCCGTGTCCTCTGCTGCTGCTACCCCCTGGACACGGCCAGATCCCGGCTGCAGCAGTGCCCACCCCGCTGAGTGAGCAGCTCCTGCCGCTGTCCCAGCCGCTGTCCCCGCCGCTGTCCCCGCTGCCAACACCGGCCTGGACCTTGTCCTTGTGCGGTGACTTTCTCCAACAATGCCTCCTTGCAGCGCTAGTGAATCCCAAACGCCCTGAAACAGCAGTTTGTGTACTCACTGACTTGGCCTGGCGGCGGTAGCAGACTGTGGAGGGTCTCTAGGCTCTGCGGGCCATGGCGGTGGTCAGAGCCGCTGATGCAGAGCACAGCTCGGTGCCTGAGTGTGTGGACAGGGCTCGGCTAGAGGCGGCCCCGGGCCCGGGCTCCTCTTCCTCGGAGATGCCAGGCGGACTCCATGTTATTCAGACACACGGCTCTGCGTGCGTAACGTCAGCGCGCCGGAGGAGGAGAGAGGAGCCAAGTTCATGGAGTTCAGCTGTGGCCTTTGAGACATGTGAATGCTGCAGTTTGAAGACAGCCACATGCTCTGGATAAGACTCACTTTCAACACAACTACACTCCTGCTATTACTGTGTTGTACTCGGATCCTGCCTGGAAAATTCCGTAGTCATTTATTTTATTCTTGCGCCCTCTGTTGGCAGTAATGCTCAGAAAGAAAACACATTATCAGCACACTTATTATTTTAGAAGTAGTTGTAGTAGTAGTAACAATAATTACAGATGCAATAATAACAACAACACTAATTTAACATACTTTATAACGCTGTATAATTCATTTTCTCTTCATTGTTATTTTTAATAATTGTCTATCAACCTTTACCAGGATCGTCCTGGTATTTCAAAATCTCGTTTTCAGGGGATTCCTGTCTCTAGAGGAGAGTGAAGTCTATTGTACACGTTTTAGTAGTCGGGAAACCTGAGCACCTGGCGCAAAACCTGAAGGAAACTTGCACATGGAGAGGACCACAAATGATTGTAGTCAACCTACATTTTCCCAAACAAAACATCATTCTAAATTCTTGGCCTGAGAATACAGGTGAAAGCAATCCTTTATATGATAACGTATGGTTTCATACAAAAGGTGGAACACAGTCATGGACGTGTTTATTTCAGGGGTTGAAAAGTTGGAGATGTATTTATTTTAATATACACATTTACTTTCAGGTAAAGAGTACAACACACCGACATACTCCAGGAAATAGCGCTTCCGGCCATCTGTCCATATATTTTGTTTTCATCCCTATTTATGGCTTACACACCGTAGAGCATATGCTGTACTTACTGAAACAGAAACACTCACAAACAAAAGATTTTATTCAAGTCTTTATTAAAGTTTTCTCCTTTTGCAGCTGGTTCACTTTGTCACATTCTACAAGAAAAAAAGGGAAAGTTAGAGTTAATGTTACCTTGAGGGAAATAGGGTTATAGGGTTAAACTCAATCCTTAATATCATAGGGTTGAGTTTTGTAAAATGTATTTGTATTTGCAAGCCCTGCCCATTTACACTCTCAACATTTCTTTGATTTCAGAACATGTTGAAGCACGTACCCCAAAATGCTCCCATGTTTGGATCTCACTGTAGAGAGCGTCTCCAGGACAGGATGTGTGCAGCACCACCTGCCTGTGGCCATGCACAACAAAGCGGTCCACGAGACGCCCGCCCTGCACGCCACAGAAGGCCAGCTTCTCCCGCACCAGCTCCATAGAGTGTGTGGAGGGAAGAGCATGTGAGTAGTCGCCTATGAAGGACACACCAAAACCTATGGAGTTGTGCCCCAGAGTGTGTGCTCCCTGCCAGTGCCAGCCTCGACCTTCATAGATGTAACCGTCAGAGCCAGCGACGAAACTGCAGAAAAGCAAGGCAAGTTTATTTGTACAGCATTGTTCATACACAAGGCAACTCAAAGTGGTTAACAAAAGAAGATAGAAACAGTCACACAAAATAATCACTGAACATTAAAAAGAGTAAAGATAAAATCCCTCAGTTGTGCGCACAGGTAAAGAGAACTGTTTATAACCTGGATGTGGACACTGTCTGACATTTTCAGGAAGACTTGCAGATTTTAGCTGCATAAATCTGAAATGCAGCCTCCCCATAGTTTGAGTTGATTCATATGGCACTAACATATCCTTTGGTGCGAGGCCTTAGAGAGACTTTTACACAAGCAGAGCTGATTCAAAGTCTATTCTCTGAGTCACAGGAAGCCAGTGCAGAGACCTGAGAACCGGACTAATGTGATCGTACTTCCTGATTTTAGTCAGGACTCGAGCTGCTGCGTTTTGAATGTACTGCAGCTGTTTTACAACTTTTTTGGAGAGACCAGTTAGCAGGCCATTGCAGTCTAGCCTACTGGAGACAAAAGCATGGATAAGAATCTCCAGGTCTGCTTTAGACACTATAGATAGAAACATGGCCTGCATATTATGAAGCAAATATTTATATCTCATCCTAATATTTAGAGTCTATGATCACATCAAGCAAATCATTTGTATCGCTGTTGACACGCAATGATCAAAATTGTCTATGTAATATTCAAACTAAAACTTTAAGTATATAAACTCTCTGACGCGACACAGCAATTAAAAACAAGACAAAAACCATTCCTGTGAATTGTCCAACTTTGTCACTTTGTTTTAAGTTCATCTATACTTTATTGTTCTCATAGGGAAAATAAACGTCTCTCTCTGCTGTTCACATAAACACTTAGAGAAGAAGGAATGTGTGCGACATCATCAGCTCTGGAGAACCATCACCCAAGGAGGAGCTTTCACTAAACTAAAATACATACACTGGCTGCTTCTCTGTATATAGGTCGCAGAGTTCATGAGACTGGAGAAATCTTTCAGCTTATACTTTAGCAAGAACTGTTACTGTAAGTAATCTTTGTTTGTGTTGTGGATTTCACAGACCAAGGTCCCTCAAAGCACTTAACAGCAATATGTCTAAATCTCAAAGGTTATAAAATAATGAATCAATGATTTATTTATTTGACAACTATTTCTATAATCAATTAATTGTGATTACTTGATTACCTTGTAAGTAAGTAAGTAAGTAATCTTTATGTATATAGCGCCTTTCACAAAGTCACACATGCTTTACAATTGTTGTGTGCGTCTCACTCCAAACATGGGAGGCACATGCCAGATCTCTTTTATAAATTTTTGTGATGGGGAAAACCAGAGCACCCGGAGGAAACCTACTCAGACAAAGGGGAGAACATGCAATCTTCACACAGAAAGGCCTGGTTGTAGAATCGAACCCAGCACCTTCTTGATGTGAGGTGCTGCTGCGTCACCGTGCTGCTTGTTACAGCCTCATCATACTTACTTACTTTTTGAAGCCATCCAAGTTCATGATGCAGCTTCATCCATATTATTATCATTCTTCATCACTATATATTTGATTTGTTTGTGCGTCACCTGTATCCGATGTCGTCCCAGCCGCGCTCCTCTTGGTGGAAGCGTTGCATGGCCCTCATGTCCACAGAGCACTGCTGGAAGGAGGTGCAGGGCTGACTGGGAATAGCTGTGTGGTGGATGTACAGGAAGCTGAGAGGCAGAGACAGGTTGGTGGGAGTCCCCTTGTACGGCTCTGCACCCCACATGCAGCGTGGGATTATGGGAGGGCAGTCTGCAACAACACAGGCTCAGGTGAAGCATGGAGGATCATTGAGAAAGATAATTTAATTTAATGTGCACTTGGGGTCTCTTTATTCACAACTATATGTATATATGGCTCATGCCATGTTGGTGATCATACAGCAATACTTTGAAAGACTACACTAAATTAAATGTATTAAAATGTATATTTTCTATAGGCTTAAACAATTTAATCACTGTTTGATTTAAAAAAAACAGTATAAAATCAAGTCAAACCATAAATCACTTTACTGTCATATTGTCAATATATACAACAAAAAAACTAATGTTAGTTTTTTTCAATGCCATAAAACATTCTAAGTGTGCCATAAAATGCTTTCCTATTTAGTATTTACTATCACTGAATTTGTAATATGTATATAATCCAGAGATTTGTTTAACCCTGTTCTAAATCAATGTCTCAAAGTTGTTATTACCATTTTAACCACAAGGTAGAGCCACAAGTCTAGGATTTTCCATTACAATAGAAGAGACGAGACACTGATTAGGTCTATTTATTGATTTGGATCCCCTATATGTACCATTAAATGAACTATAGAATTACACTGTATAAAAATACAGAGATCAGCCTGTTGAGGTACTAAAAGACAGGTACATGTACTTAGTGGATCAATAAAAATACCACCTCAATAACTGATATATATCTGAATGTGAAGACTATTCTTACCTGTATATTTCTGGACTAACTCTCTGATCTTGCCGTTCATTGCAGACATCATTTGCTTCTTTTCCTTCAGTCTCATGACTCTCTTTCCCTTCATTCTTTTGTTTATTTCAGCCACAGCCACCGCCTCCATTCTCAGAACACCCAGGACACTCTCGGAGCTCTGCAATAACTGTTGGAAGTTGTCTCTGCGCCGCTGACTGATGATGCATGGGGCCGCGTCCAAACCTCTTTGATCCAGCTTCTGGCCATAGTACATTGTCAGCAAAGCACTGAGCTTAAGAGATCTGGATTTGAATGCTTCTCGGGCCAAGATGACGCCGTCCATTCCTCCGTTGAGCTGAGCAGTGGTGAGTAAAGTTGGCCTGTGCGTGAGAGTGAATGTCCGTGGGCTGGCGAGGGAGTCCCAGCAACCATCAGGGCTTTGATCTTCATATCGGGGTGATTTTTTTGTTACGGGAGTATTTGGATGGCGATTTGGAACGTCCCACCGGAGTCTACGGAGGAAACCAGCTTCTATACCCAGAAGAAGAGGTCGAAGAGCCACAGTGGTCCCATCTGCAGTCAACACTACACCGAGCTCTTGATTGTCGGCGGTGATGTGGTGGTGGAGAGCAGAGGTCAGGTACGCAGAAACGTTAACATAGTTGGGAGAAACAGATTTGGGTTTTCCGAGGTAGTGCTGGATGAAAGGGTCGGTGAGGCCAGATGCGCTGCGGAGGGCCCTCAGGACATGGACAGGCTTCAGATCAGTGTTTCCGACTTCCAGTTCCTTCACCTCCTTTATGAAGTCTTCCATGTGCAAGAAAGAAGCTGGAAACAAAACAATATTTAAGACAGCCATATAATCAGACATGTTATGCAAAATCATTTTTTTTAGAGCTTTCAAGGTTAAAATGAAAGTCAGTTTATTTTCAAAGTTTAAAAATGGAGAGTGCCAGTATAACCCACCCCCCTGATTGGACGCAATCATTACAAATCCAACAACTGTTCTCTTCCAGCAGATAGTACTGAATCAGAATCAGAATTATTTTATCACAGGAAGTCACAAACTAGGAAATTGCTTTGGCTCTCGGTGCAAGAAAAAAATAAATTAGAGAATAGAATAGCCTGGTCTTACCACACCATTGTACTTATTTCATTTTGTACATTTAGTGAAATGATAATTAATTCAGATCAAATGATAGTATTTGTGCTGTAAAGAACACGCCACAGACGCATATTGGCTGTGTGTTATGTTTATCTAAAGGCTCTGAGTCAGATGACCATTTTTAGCTTCACTCGAGGGACAGTCAGAAGGTTAAGGTCCGGATCATAAAGCATGAGCAAGTCAGAGATGATGAGGGCTTTATAAACAAGGAGAATCAGAATCAGAATCAGAAGGATTAAAGCAAATCTAGGCCTGAATTGTGAGCCAGTGGAGGTGATTTTAAAAAAGGAGTGAAGTGATAAATAGTCGAAGTCTGGGATGACGCAGTGACTGAACATCCTCTAAACCCTGTTTTGTCAGTTCTTTGATTATGACACACAATTTGGACTGTTCTTTTGTTTACATAGCATATTCTGTACAAGACTGCAAATCAAGATTAAGTGATTAAAAGACGAGTTCATCAATGGACAGTATCAAACAGAGTGTTCATAATTTTCACCTTTTTGTTGTTGGAACAAATACAATGTAATATCATGAAAGTAAGACAGACATACATTTAACCTTGAAATATAGATTTATCTAAAGTACTATATATTAATTTTAATACATATATAGTACTTGATAACATTAAAACCATAATTACCTTCTATGCCCAAAGTAAACAGGACTCCAAGCAATAAGGTGCATGTCCACGTGTGAGCCATCATGCAGCTGCTATCCTGGAATAACCTCAATGTCAGCCTCCTGTGAAAAATGTCGGTTACTTATAACATTTATGTGCAAACCAACCGGCTGCATTTACGTCACGAGGAGATAATCAGCTCGTAGGGCAACCGCAAATAAGCAATCTGGGAAACTTGCACCTGACTTTGGATTAGCATTTGTACAGTTTGTTGATGCAAATGTACATATGTTCTGACTTTTTCTGGAATCATTTCAACCACTGTGGTAGTCCTCTGTTTGGCAATGTGCATGCTCTGTGTCTGTTCCCACAGTTTTGATCGTTGGAAACCCCTTCACAAGTGACTCATGTATGCTGAAGTTGCAAAAGCAACCAGTTCCATCAGATGTCAATTCTTCACATCTGATGGAACTGGACTGATGGAACACAATTTTGCATGTACAGTTAGACAAAGAAATAACAGTTTTACGTTTGATGTTTTTTATAAATATGCCTGATGTTGCAAGAAACATCTGTAATAACCCATTTGTATCCCCCCACAGAAACCATGTGACCTACAAAACAGGAAGCCTGTGATTTTTGCAAAATAAGGTCTAGACTCAGAACTCAAAGTCAGGCATAATTTGCTGATGAGCTGAAAACAGGAAGGTATGGAAGTGATGGGAACAGTTTTTTGTGGCTTACCTTCCTCTTTGTAGAATGATTAGCCCAAAGATTATGTTCTTCATTCTATATTCTCCTTTTACTGTCTATGGACTACTTTAGTTTTTGTTATTTAAAAACACTGTTTTTCTTTGCAGTGTTTTTTTATATAATATTTATCCAGAAAACGAAATATAAAGAAATGAAACCTTTCCAGTGTCCACCAGATGGCGCTGGAGTTAACCCGTGTATGAGAGAAGAACACGGGAAACCGGAGCAGCTAGCCTCTAGGTAATTTACGTAAACAAAACAACAAAACAGCTCATTCAGGGTTTGCTGAGTTAAATGTATTGTCTCCTGTATCTGTTCACATCAAAAAACTTTACAGTTAATGACGTAAAACAGATTCTCTATGCTAGTCATGCTAATGCTAATATCGGAGTCAGGAAGCGATTAAGCTACGCTAGCTTTCCACTGGTGAGTTACTGTACAGCAGTGGATTACATGAAATGACGAATATTATTATTTTCACATGATATTACGAGGCTGTTATGTGCATTGGACACGGGTGACCTTTTTACTAACTATGTAGTAATGTAAAAGTATTCGACTAACAACTCCCTTTGCCAGGTGTTCAGGTGTACATAAAATGGTCTTTATTGTAACTATTCGCCTTTGTCTGTGTGAATAAATACTACCCTGAATAATAATACTAACGATGCAGAGCAGTAGCTACTTATATTTAGTTTATTATTAGCTTATATTTTCTATTCTGTTAGCGACATGTTAAAGATACCAATTACATTTTCTTTCCTTTATATTTTTTAGTGCTTTTTATTCATCTTGTTTTGTGAAATTCCTATATCCTCACTGCCCTGAAGGAATTTGAAATGCGTCCATTTTGTACAATTAAAGATTCTATTACCTTTTATCTTATATCTCCTTAGATCAGATTCTAAATTATATGAGAGGAAAACTGTGAAATTGATTGGCTGGACATGGGCTGATGATTAATTTTTTTATTTAGACTTTGTTAGGATCCATGCAGGCACATGATGGCTGAGAAGATAGCACTCTCGTTTCTCAGCATGAAGGTCCTGGGCTTGAATCCCGGTCAGAACAGGGCTTTTCTGAGTGGCGTTTGCATGTTCTTCCCGTGCCTGCGTAGGTTTTTTTCCGGGTGCTCCGGGTTCCCCTACCACTAAAAACATGTACAATAGGTCTCGCAATAGGTACGGGCGACCCCACTCCCATCTCTGTGTGGAGTGGGAGACAAATGCCCTCAATTGTAAAGCGCTTTGGGACTCTGGTCTGTGAAAGACGTTATATAAATAAAGATTACTTGCTTACTTAGGATCCATAGCTAATGAGTTGAATACTAAAAGCGGCATATTTGAACTTGTATTTTTCAGATAAACATGGACAACCGTTTTACTAAAGGAAAGTCCACCATCCTGGAGCGGCCTCTGACACGTCCTAAGACAGAAGTGAGTGTGAGTGCGTTTGCCCTGCTCTTCTCAGAGATGGTGCAGTATTGCCAGAGCCGAGTGTACTCTGTCACTGAGCTGCAGTCACGGCTCTCTGAGATGGGCCAAAGTGTGGGGGCCAGTCTGCTGGACGTCCTAGTGCTCAGGGAGAAGAACGGGAAGAGGGAGACCAAAGTGCTCAACATGCTGCTGTTTATCAAGGTAAGATATTACCAATGCATATATATTTCAAACTATAGGTTGTGTTACAATAAACTGCAGTAATTTTAGTACTGTAGTCCCTCACTATAACGCAGTTTTGCCACCTCGCTTTATGCAGATTTTGTTTTTGTGCAATTGTGCGTTCTTTTTTACAGTGTGCTTTATCATGCAGCATGTGTCTACTCCAACAACATCATATAATTGCTAGTATAACAATTACCTTTATTTAAGGTAAACCTTTGAACAGCGACCAAGTTTGATTAGGCCTTTTACATGATCCAGGACAACATTTCATTACATTTTTATTGTTTTATTTATTCCTGTTGTTGATTTTAGATGTCCTCTATTTCTTTAAAGTTTCAGGGCTCTGCCTTTTGTCTGTTTCACATACAATTTCTGAAAAAACTGTGGCGCCAAAAGGGTTAATAATCAGTATGCCATATATGTCTCTCTTGTTTATAGTGATAGGGAAGACTTTATCTACAGGTACATTGAAATAATTGTAAACCAGGTCAAATAATGAAAATACAAATATCTTTATTTATTGAGACATAAGATGTTTGTGACTGCAGTGTGATTTGTGAAAATGTTCACAAATGTGTACGTACATGTGCTCCAGGTTGTTTCACACCTCCTCTTTATTTCACTTCAGGTTAATGTCTGGAAATCCCTGTTTGGAAAGGAAGCCGATAAGCTGGAGCAAGCCAATGACGACGACAAGACATATTACATTATAGAAAAGGACCCTTTGATTAACGCCTACATATCTGTGCCCAAGGAAAACAGCAGCCTCAACTGTGCCTCCTTCACAGCAGGCATTTTGGAGGCTATTCTCACACACAGTGGCTTCCCTGCCAAGGTCACTGCTCACTGGCACAAGGGCACCACGCTCATGATCAAGTTCAACGATTCTGTGATAGCCAGGGACAAGGCGCTGGATGGTCGATAAACAAATGCAGTTCATTTTGGAAAAAGACTCATTTCCAGGTGTATTTATTTTACAGTTTGTTTTATTACAAAATTTCCGATTTTGGAGTTTTTCACATTAGTTACTTTTCCTGTGAAGGTTTTACTTCCACCAAAGCCCCTTGAGCAGTTGTAGCTCAAGTCTGTTTCTTCATCTCCTACATTTTCATTCAGCTCATGTCTCCTCCTCTCCTCACACTTTACCTGTAGAGCCTGGTAGGGCTGAGCGCAGGAGCAGGTGAGGAAATAGATTTGAGATGCAGACACAGAATAATACCTATGCTATAAAAGCAGATGTGGGACCAGTGTACAACGACAAAAAACATTTGTTGGCTGCCATGTTATATTCAGTTCTAAGGATCTTTTTTATTGTTTAATCATGAAATAATGTCTGTTGATTCCTACAAAGTAATACATTAAATTCCTGTTTGATGTGGAGGCTGCAGTCATTTGTTTGTACTTGCATTATATAACCATTAACTAAAGTATTTTAGAGCATAATGTTTTTATTCCAGCCAAACCAAAATGTTGTGATTACAGTCAACATATCATTGGTGAAAAATAAACTACATTTTGACTGACATCATGTTTACACTGAAATACAAAGCAAAGAAACAAAATAAACTAAACTAAAAACAAAAAGGGGGCATGATCTCAGACCTCATCTGTCAACTGTTCATGTAATGGGCACTTGTCAATGAATGCAAGAAGTTTTATGGCGTTCTTTACTGATAAGAATGAGTGGTTTATGAAATTATTTGAACTCATTCCACCAATGGACGAAGCTTGGAATGGTTTTATAAATAGCATTTCATGAATATAGTGTTTTGCTAACAGTATCAAATGATTTACACCAGAGGTGTCAAACTTATTTTAAACGGGGGCGAAATGTAAAAATAAAAGAGTTGCGTAAAGGTCTTTTGACAAAATAATTCTATTTGACATAAGTTTGGATATTATTTTCTAGCCAATTATCTATAAGAGATGTATTGGAAGATAGATAGAAAATAATGTAAATAATGAAGTAACTGTTACATCTAATTATTCCATAGTAGACCATGCTACACGTTACTGCAATAAAGATAATTGAAAATCATTCCAGGGGCCGCTAAAAATAGTCTTGCGGACCGGATTTGGCCCACTGGCCTGAGTTTGACATGTCTGATTTACACCAAAGTTCATTAATTAATCTTTCCTTAATAAAGAAGATACATGATGATATCCTTCAGTGACAGCTGTTGTAACTGCTTATGACTTTATTTCTTCTTGAAAGTCAAACCAGAGTCCCTGTACAGAGTCACATAAAAAGTATCATATGTGTAATTATGTGAAAGCTGGACAGTTTAATGGAACAAAACCACGTGACTGACGTTGACGTAGGTCACGTGACGCGTCCAGGCGGAAGCTGTCTGGTTGTTTACCTTTTTTCGCCTCTGGTTCTTTCATAATACAATAGATCCATGTTCGTGTCTAGAGGTTTCGCTGATAGACATTTCTTACCGTATTTACACCTTATTGATTCATTTTGCGGTCCTTCAAATGAATGAAACATGTCTTGATCGTCCCGTTACTCCCGTAACTGTGTAATTATTATGGCGTCAGCCACTTACAGCGACATCCAGGACACTTTCACAGGTTTGTTTATACACATGCATTCTCTATGAATATGAGGGGAGATTCATTCAAAGACAGTTTTACAGCTATATTTCTTATGTTTTAATTTCCTTATAGACGTAACGCTATATATAGTTATTATCCATATTGATATTGACGACACACCACCGCCGCGATGATGAGCTTCTGTGTGGCTTTTAATGTTGAATCATGAATATATTTTTGATACATCTGTTACATCAACAATAAGTAACTTGATTGTAGAACATTCAACTATATCCAACACGACACTAAGGTTCGTGTTTATTATACTACAATAAATGCATAAACACCGATGCATTATAATATTATGGAGCTAAATAAAACTTTGCAGTATCGCAATATTGTTATGTGTTTTATTCATTAATGATTTTAGACAAAACAACCTTTTGGGTTTTTTGTTGTTGTCAGAGAAGGACCGTCTGCTGTCGTCTGTGTCTGGCTATGGCTCTCAGGACCTGGTCAGTGGGGGTCCTGGTCCTGGTCCTGGTGGAGGACTACAGGGCTGTGGCTTCCAGCATCAGGAAGAGGAGGAAGCTCTCAGGCGGAAACTCAAATACTTCTTCATGAGCCCGTGTGACAAATATCATGCGAAGGGACGCAAACCTTTTAAACTGGGTCTACAACTGCTGAAAATCATCATTGTCACAGTGCAGGTGCTCCATTCTAATACTTGGAAATGACTGTATTGGAAGTTGACTCCAAAACAACTACATTTCCAAATGTTTTTTCTTAAAGGTATATAGGAGGATATTCCTGAATTTTAGAAAATAACCGCCCTCCTCAGAGGGAACGCCTATTAAAACGTGTCTCGCATATCACCAGAATGATTGACAATTAGGAGGACCAATAGTTTAGATGATCCACCCAGGAAAAAAAAAAAATTCCCATATACCTTCCCAACTTTTCTATCTCATCACCTTGTATCACCGATTTACACCAATCCATATTTTCCAATACTTCAGCTACTTTCTAACAGGTATTTTGTCCTAAGTAAGTACAGAACTATGACATACTGGGAAATATTTGGCCCCATTACATCTGTTGAAAGGCCCTGTCAGGAGACTTTACCAATATCAAAGTATTATATTAGTGCATGTCCAATTTATATAACACTCAGAATATCTATCTGGGTGAGCAGCTTGAAGCCTTACTATTTCAAGCGACAGTAAGTAGAATGTGTCTTCTGAATGTTGACCCTGTTTTGTGTTTCTTCCTGTAGCTGGTGCTTTTTGGCCTGAGTAATCAGATGGTGGTCACATTTAAGGACGAGAACACTGCAGCGTTTAAGCATCTTTTTCTGATGGGTTACCAGGACGACAGCCCCCAGGAAGTGTACTCACAAGACGATCTCTACAGCCACATTCACTTTGCCATAGATCAGGTAAAAACCACTGAATTCATGGTTCACTCTCACAATCATTTTCAGAACAGGGCACTAACCAGCCGATCATTGGAAATTATGAGTTGAAAGATTCAGGGAAGCAATGGGTTTACCTCATCAGGAACCTTAACATCTTTTGTCCTAACCGCTGTCAGGCTGTAAATCTGTCAGTAGCCTGTTGGGTTATCAGGTGGCTGCACGGCACAATAGCTGAGTGGTTAGCACACTTGCTTCTCAGTAAGAAGGTCCTGCGTTCGAATCTCAGTTGGAAAAGGGTCTTTCTGTGTGGGGTTTGCATTTTCTCCCTGTGTCTGCATATCTTTCCTCCGGGTGCTCCAGTTTTACATACCACTTAAAACATGTACAATAGTTCAATTCCTTCAGCTCTGCTCCTGACCAAGCGGAGTATCAACATCTGGAGATGGGCCCCACTGCTCCTGACAGAAACCATGAAACAAAGACAGAAACAAATGTCTGTTTGGGGACAGAAAGTATATTTTACAGCTTAACCTAATAGCTAATTCCACTTACTGTAGCTCCCCTTAATGTGGCTATTTGTTATTTGTTTTGTCGTGAGATTTCCTGTATGTTTTAAATGTTTTTTATTAATATTATTAATATTTTTTTTGACTATGCTTGTAATCAATACACAACTCAAACCATGCATGTTGCTGGTCACATTAACAGGAAGTGTGCAGTCTACTCAAACATTCACTGTGTGTCCTCAGTACCTGGCTCTGCCTCAGATCTCCTTGGGCCGCTATGCGTACGTACCGGGTGTTGGTTACAATGACAGCGCCTTATCACTGTGTCAGAGGTTGTACAAGAGAGGCTTCATAGACCCCGTCAACGACACTTTCGATATTGACCCCTATGTTGTCACCAGTAAGACTTGCATTTTAACCTTTGACATTTTTAATTACCAATATACAGTGCCTTGCGAAAGTATTCGGCCCCCTTGAACCTTTCAACATTTCGCCACATTTCAGTCTTCAAACATAAAGATATACAATTTTAATTTTTTGTCATGAATCATCAACAAGTGGGACACAATCTTTAAGTGGAATGAAATTTATTGGATAATTTAAACTTTTTTAACAAATAAAAAACTGAAAAGTGGGGCGTGCAATATTATTCGGCCCCTTTACTTTCAGTGCAGCAAACTCAGTCCAGAAGTTCAGTGAGGATCTTTGAATGATCCAATGTTGTCCTAAATGACTGATGATGATAAATAGAATGCACCTGTGTGTAATCAAGTCTCCGTATAAATGCACCTGCTCTTTGATAGTCTCAGGGTTCTGTTTAAAGCGCAGAGAGAACCATGAAGACAAAGGAACACACCAGGCAGGTCCGAGATACTGTTGTGGAGAAGTTTAAAGCCGGATTTGGATACAAAAAGATTTCCCAAGCTTTAAACATCTCAAGGAGCACTGTGCAAGCAATTATATTGAAATGGAAGGAGTATCAGACCACTGCAAATCTACCAAGACCCGGCCGTCCCTCCAAACTTTCATCTCAAACAAGGAGAAGACTGATCAGAGATGCAGCCAAGAGGCCCATGATCACTCTGGATGAACTGCAGATAACTACAGCTGAGGTGGGAGAGTCTGTCCATAGGACAACAATCAGTCCTGCACTGCACAAATCTGGCCTTTATGGAAGAGTGGCCCTTTCTCAAAGATATCCATAAAAAGTATCTTAAAGTTTGCCACAAGCCACCTGGGAGACACACCAAACATGTGGAAGAAGGTGCTCTGGGCAGATGAAACCAAAATCAAACTTTTTGGCCACAATGCAAAACGATATGTTTGGCGTAAAAGCAACACAGCTCATCACCCTGAACATACCATCCCCACCTCAGCTGTAGTTATCTGCAGTTCATCCAGAGTGATCATGGGCCTCTTGGCTGCATCTCTGATCAGTCTTCTCCTTGTTTGAGATGAAAGTTTGGAGGGACGGCCGGGTCTTGGTAGATTTGCAGTGGTCTGATACTCCTTCCATTTCAATATAATTGCTTGCACAGTGCTCCTTGAGATGTTTAAAGCTTGGGAAATCTTTTTGTATCCAAATCCGGCTTTAAACTTCTCCACAACAGTATCTCGGACCTGCCTGGTGTGTTCCTTTGTCTTCATGGTTCTCTCTGCACTTTAAACAGAACCCTGAGACTATCAAAGAGCAGGTGCATTTATACAGAGACTTGATTACACACAGGTGCATTCTATTTATCATCATCAGTCATTTAGGACAACATTGGATCATTCAAAGATCCTCACTGAACTTCTGGACTGAGTTTGCTGCACTGAAAGTAAAGGGGCCGAATAATATTGCACACCCCACTTTTCAGTTTTTTATTTGTTAAAAAAGTTTAAATTATCCAACACATTTCATTCCACTTAAAGATTGTGTCCCACTTGTTGTTGATTCATGACAAAAAATTAAAATGTTATATCTTTATGTTTGAAGCCTGAAATATGGCGAAATGTTGAAAGGTTCAAGGGGGCCGAATACTTTCGTAAGGCACTGTATAACCTGCACATTTACAATAGTTCTGTCACAATAACTCGTTTTGGCAGTCGATACAATCAGAATCATTTTTATTGCCACGTAAGTAACAGGAAGTCACAGACTTGGAAATTGCTTTGGCTCAGTGCAACAGTCAGAGAGAGATAATAAAAAATAAAGAATAAAAAACACTTCTAAGGAATACATTTAAATTTAAAATAAGAATTACAGTTACTATTTACAATATACAAGTGCACATGGTGCACACTATGTAAGGTGACAGCAGTACAGTGAAGCAAAGTCATTGCTACTTCTCAGATTTATATTTTTAGAATGTAACCCGCTAGATAAACGTTGTACTTTATCCCACTGATGAAAGTACATTACAGAAAGATAATCCCAGTATAGTAAACGTTTTCATCATACAAATATATATTTCATTATAAAGCATGCAGTCTGAAAGTAATCAGTAAAATAATGTCATATTCATTCATTGTCATATCGGCAAAGCTTTTTCCATATAAAATCATAATGATCCCTAAGTAAATTCTCAGAAAATATTGAGGCCTAAAATGGATTCTTCATCCAAACGGTATTGAACGAGTTACCGATACAGTAATTATTGTGACAGGCCTAACCAGGAGATTAGAGTAAATAATAATGTTTTTATCCTCTTTAGTAGCTAATCATGAAACCCATGTCAAGAGAACAGACTTATTTGAACAACTGTGCAGCTATTGACAAATGAGAAAAACATCGTGCCAACTTAAAATGTAAAATAGGAAGTTGGCTTTAGTTGTGTAACTTTTGAAAAATGGGTAAACTTCCCTAAAAGCTTCTAATATTAATTCTAAACTTCTTTTTCAGATTGCACAGGGGTGAATCCTCACATGTGTAATCCTGCTCCTGGAAACAGTGATTACAAGAATTTTACTTTGAAATTTTACAAGTAAGTTCTCATCGTCATACTGAGACACATACATCTGGAATGACAATATTATAATTCAGATGATTTGTTGTCTCTAGGTTGATCAACGTCACCATTGACTTTCAACTAAAGGCTATAAACATTCAGACTATTTTGAACAATGAAATACCTGACTGCTACACGTTTGCCATAACGGTATAGTAGTTCAAGATTTACTGTACATGCTGGATTGTCAAGCACACCTGTTTACAAACCCCACCAACTACATATTCTTTTTTCACACATACGCTGCACATGAAAACAAGCCATTTTTGTATTGTTATGTAGCACTTAACCAACAGCTGACGAAGCAAGACAAAGCTGATACTACCAGTACTTTATAGAGTGGAGATTTTGCAACAAGATTAAAACAAACAAACAAAAAAGGGACGCTCTAGTATTCAAATAAAATACATAAATCGGCCAAAGTACAGTGCAAGTACAGCACTCATTTTTGTGTATATTGTTTGATTGGTGTTTTATTGTCTGTTCTATTAGTCTATATATATTAATAGATTAACACATTTTGTCAATCAGTTGTATTCACGTGACATCACAAGAAGGGCTTTACCTTGAAGCTCGAGAACTGGAAAGAAAAACTAGTTCAACAAGTTCAAACATATAAACTATTTGTAAAATGTAACAAATAATATGGTTAGATACTATTTTTTGCGTAATACATTTAGATTACACATTGATTGAACATATTTATATATATACTGTATTTATACATAGGTTTCAAAACAAACAAAAGGTCAAAGTCAATAACGTTTTAGTCCTGTTGTTTCTGTTCACTCTCAGATCGTCATGGACAACCACGCTCATAGTGGCAAAGTGAAAATAAGTTTGCACAACCACGCCTCTATTAAAGAGTGTAAAGACCCTAATGTCTCTGGTCATGGTGAGTAGAAGCAGTCAAAAATACTGGATGTAATTGATACCATTGTAACAGTACCTTTCCTGTAGCTGAGAATTATGCTCGGGAGATGTTTGACGTCCTCGTGGCGATAGTGTGTCTGCTGTCGTTGGTCCTGTGCGGGCGCTCCATTTTGAGAGGAATACTTCTACAACATGTAATTATCCTTTTTTTTTTAATCTGCAACCTTAACTTTGTATCCGAAAGCACTAGTCTCACTGAGATGAATGCTAAAGGTAATGCAGTGAGTGGAGTTTGTAAGTTTGTAAGTTTCCCCAAACTTAAATTAAAACATGTACAATGGTCAAATCCTCCAGCTCTGGTCCTGACCAAGTGGAGCATCAACATCTGGACATGTGTAACTTCTCTGTGATTCTCAACTGGAACAGAGTCAGGATCCACCGTCATAATGCTGAGCCGTGACCCAAATAAGAGCTCAATTTAGTTTATAAATAATGTAAAATACTGTATATCATCACAAATTATATTATGTTTTATAACTCCAACAGACTCCAAGGATATAAATTAGACCAACATCTTGAAATAAGTAAATTTTCCTTTGAGTTAACTAATAAAAAAAAAATGACTTAAAGAGACGTAAAAAGATTTAAATAGGCTTGAATAGACGTGGCAGTTGTAGACAAACACTGAGGCGGACAGGTGAACACTGCTGTGGCCCTAATTCTTGTTTTTCTGCTGATGGTTGACTTCACCCTCGTTGCCCAGAGGAGTTTCATCATAGAATCACTGGCCTTGTTTTGGATCCAGTGTCACTCTTTTTGCCCCGGTCCCTGAGGAAACGGCGGGAAGTGACTCATTCTGTTGGTGCTCCACATATGCAAAGAAGTGCCCTGCAACCGTGCCCTACTGCTAACATTCTGGACAAAGTTTTGCTCCAACTCGCTCTGTCTCCTTTTGACTTAATTACATTGAAAAGTAAACTCCTCTCATTCAATAACAGTCACTATTTTTGGCTTTAATAATCCACGGTTTGGCTGTCTCTCTTTAATCCCGGTGTTTATATTGTGATAGTGTCTTTTTAAATCCAGATATCATCCAGATATATCTTAAGTATTTGTTCATTTATTTGAACAGTATTAATACTACACAAAAGGAGTGGGCTGAAGCAAAAAGCAGTTGAGCGCCCCCACCCCCAAACCTCGATTACAACTTTTCTAATCACAATAAGAAATAGTGCAGAACAAGGACACAAAGGCACTCAAAATAAACTACATCTGCACATCCTTGAATTTTAGAATAATCAACAATTTAAAGATTTAATTGGTCTTTAGCTAGCAATCAGTGCGAGTGAGAACAGACTGGCGCTGCTCCTTATTGGTCAAATAGCCTGTTCGAGTTAGCTCTCATCGGCCTCCTCTGCATTTAGGCAAACACTGTGGGTGACGTCAGCACTTGGGCAGTCCACTCCTACCACAAAACCAGCACTGGGAGAGAAACTTGCAACAATATACTATTATTTGAAGTCTGAAATCTTCTAAACTCCCACACACTGTCCCTTTGATGTCATCTTTCTCCTATTTTCAGGAATATGTGCACTTTTTCAAGCACAGATTCGGCCGTCATGTGACCTGGTCTGATAGAACGGAGTTTATAAATGGCTGGTATATTCTCCTTGTTATCAGCGACCTATTCACAATAATCGGGAGCTTCATTAAAATTGGAATCGAGTCCAAGGTAAAGCGCAGACTCCTTTAAGGACAGGAGGCCGTTTTCTGATCACCCATGCCTCTTCTTTTACAGAATATTTCGTCATATGATGTTTGTGGAATCCTTTTGGGGACGTCCACTCTGCTGGTCTGGGTTGGAGTCATACGTTACCTGAGCTTCTTTCAGAAATATAATGTGTGTTGATGGTTTTTTATGTGCACAAAGAATCTGTGTTATTGCTGCAAATATATGTTTTAATCTTGTCACTTTTTCTACAGATTCTGATTATCACCCTTAGAGCAGCCTTTCCCAATGTAATCCGATTTTGCTGCTGTGTTGCCGCTATTTATTTGGGGTACTGTTTCTGTGGCTGGATCGTGTTAGGACCGTATCACACTAAGGTAATAATTAACCCCTACTAAAGGTGTTACTTTCTGTGAACTCTACTGAAATTGAGTATTGTGAGAATATAGTAATGTTCATATTATCATCCACAAACCCTACACATATCTGTCATCCCTGCTTTTATGAGGATGTACCTACAAAGGCTTTGGATCTGTTATGGAAGGGGGAACGTTTAATATTTACATGCTGCCTCTGGGTAGGTTAATACACAGTAATAACGTGTCCTATCACAATTACGCTGACGATACTCAGGTCTATGTGTCCCTGACAGCAGGAGAACATGGACCAGTGGACTCGCTCCTTCACTGTATCCAACAGATCAGTGATTGGATGCAAAATAACTTTCTCCAGCTAAACACAGAAAAAACTGAAATTATTGTTTTCGGACCTCAGAAACAAAGAGAGAGCGTTATCTGCCACCTCCAGTCTCTCTCCCTGAAACCCTCAACTCAGGTCAGAAATCTAGGAGTAATAATGGACTCAGACTTGAATTTCAATAGCCACATATCATCTGTGACATCATCAGCTTACTTCCACCTAAGAAACATTGCTAAAATTAAAAACATTGTGTCTAAAGCAGACTTGGAGATTCTTATCCACGCATTTGTCTCCAGTCGATTGGACTACTGCAATGGCTTGTTCACAGGTCTCTCTAAACAAGCGGTAAAACAGCTGCAGTACATCCAAAATGCTGCAGCTCGAGTCCTGACTAGAACCAGGAAGTACGACCACATTAGTCCGGTCCTCAGGTCTCTGCACTGGCTTCCTGTGGCTCAGAGAATAGATTTTAAAGTAGCTTTACTTGTGTACAAGTCTCTCCATGGCCTCGCACCAGGGTACATCCGCGACATGTTGGTGCCATATGAACCAACTCGGGCTCTGAGGAGCACAGGGACTGGACTTCTGTTAGTGCCAAGAGTCGGAACTAGACATGGGGAGGCTGCGTTTCAGATTCATGCAGCTAGAGTCTGGAACCGTCTTCCCGAGAGTGTGAGACAGGCGTCTACTCTAGCAGTTTTTAAAACTGAACTGAAAACAGTTCTTTTTAGCTGTGCATACAAGTGAATGATTTTACATTTGTTTTTATCTTTAATCTTTTTAATGCGCTATGATTATTTATGATTATTTATGATTGTAATCCCTTGTGTGATTTTAATTTTTTACGGTTTTTAACTACTTGTGTGATTTTATATATCTTGTGCTCTTAATCTGTCTTTTTATGTTTACTTAAATTCTAATGTTTGATGATTTATGCATGATGTTATATGGGTTGTGAGGCGCTTTGCGTTGCCTTGTGTAGGAAAGGCGCTCTATAAATAAACGTTGATTGATTGATTGATTGAACGTGTGAATGGAGGCCAGGTGACACTTGGAAAATTTAAATATTGTTCATAATCCAATCCAATCGGTCCACTATGATTATAAAATATTACAAAAAAGACAATAATAATAATGTTTTAAAAAGTCCTATCTTTATTAAATTTTATTTTGGATACAATGGTCCATAGGTATTAGAAGATACAGGGCAGATACAAATAAAACAAAGTTAATACGCGAGAAATATCGCACCAAACTTTGTGTCGGATTAAATATGAAATACCCCATGACGACCATGAAACATGTAAAATCAAATAAGAGCTAAGAAAAGCACAATACACACAAGAATATTCCATAGTATTGTTGTATTGCATAGCAGTTAAAAATTGCAATTGAAAAACAGTATAAATACAAATTAACAACAAGGTACATACATTGTACATGTATGTGCGGTGCAGATGAAGAAAGTACTGTGCACATGCCCATACAAAGTGCTTGTGCATCTAAACAACTAAAAGACTAATGCGCACTCCTTTTTACAGAAAAGTAGGTCAATTTACTTCTGTAATTCAACCTATAATAATTATAAGTATTATATGACAGACTCATTACAAGCTAAGTGAGATCTATCAAGCCTTATTTGTTATCAGTAAATTGTACATTGATAATTGCTTGTCACAGCTTGTAAAAACAATGAGAATATTTGCAAATTGGACCCGTTGTAAACCATAATCATAGAATTAATAACTCATTAAGTGGTCTCGTGTTCCCAGTTCCGCTCGCTGTCCACGGTGTCCGAGTGCCTCTTTTCTCTGATAAACGGCGACGACATGTTTGTGACGTTTGCGGAGATGGAGCACAGCAGTCTTCTGGTGTGGATCTTCAGCCAGATCTACCTCTACACCTTCATCTCTCTCTTCATCTACATGGTGCTGTCTCTCTTCATCGCACTCATCACCGGAGCCTATGACACCATCATGGTAAAGTCTTTTAATTAAGTGACATTTTTCTGTCATGTTATGCCGGGTTAGGGTTATGTGGGGGTCATATTCCATCTTTCTAAAGCACACAATCTATAACTGTTATAGATGTATAAATTAAACAAAACCACAGCAGGTCTGTGCGTTATTTGTGGATTTTTAAAAGTCCAACGGGCAAAAAGTCCTGTTTATTTGGTGCAGTTCTTCAAGCAGCCAGAAGATGGTGATCATTTCCATTGTTTTAATGTTTCGACAACACTGAGGCCCGGGGATTGAAGTGTACCCATGATCCATGAGGTTTCAAACTCGCCGTAGGTTTCATTCTTAGCCTTTATCCTATTTTTTTTTTTCAAGCTGAATTTTTACGATTTTTCCTAACTTCAGCATCATTCATCATTTAGACCCTGATTTAAAGTGATTGTCTGGAGTTTGTCAGAAAGAGAGAGAGAGGTACTTGATTTGAAAAAAAACGACGCAAGCTCCCTCCCCCTTCCTTTCTGATTGGTCTACACCTACGTTTCCATAACACTTTTAAATGTTAACCAGAGAACACATTATACATATACATTATTAATACACATGCACGGAGGTTTTCAGAATTATTTGTTAATGAAATGAAATGTTGTTAATGAAATGAAATGTTGTTTTAATGAAAAAAAGAATGTTTTTATGCGCACAAAAAAAGATCGCGGCAAACCCGGAACAAGCTATTATCATGAACTGCACATTATAGGACACATCTGCAGAGGATCTGGTTATGGATATAGGTTCAGTATATACATAAGTACCTCAGCGCGGATGTTCCAGAGCCTAATGGAGGCTTGATTCGGAGGTTCCGCGAAAACAAACAACTGAGCATGCGCGCAGCTGCGAGCATCAGCGCCGATGATTGACAGCCCTTGGCATGACTCGATTGGTTAACTTCGACGGCACCGTGGATTCTGAACTATAGCTAAGAGAAGGCAAGGCAGGACTTGCACCGTAATATTAGAATGAATAAAATGACTTATTTTATATCAACATTTAAGGCCAGAAGGTCAATTTAACACATTTCCTAAAAATTGTAATTCATTTAGAGTTACAGACTATCACTTTAATATAAAAGAGAACCACGAAAGAAAATGCACTGTTTCCACTTCTCCAAATAGCTGTTAGTAAATTCTATAGGTGCATTATTAAAGCAATAAAACCAAAACAACTGTTGATATTTTGAGGAAATGAATGCAAATTTGACTTCCAGTTCCAGATCGGACTGCCCAGTGGGAGGCTCTATATACCGCTCTAACATGCGCCATGACAAAAGACACATTGTGACCTATATGATTCCGGCAGTGACATAATCTGATTTCTGTCCTCTCCAGGCTCAAACGCAGGAGCAGGTGCGCATCACAGACCTCCACGCTTTCATCGCAGAGTGCACGGACACGCCCAGCTCCGGAAAGTTCAGAGGACCAGAGGGAACGCCATGCTCTTTCCTTTGCTGCTGTGAATGGTGACGATCCCCCAGCCACAAAATTAGATAAACCTTTTGGCAATGCGACTTATGTGTCATGTCATCGCCAGGCTGAGGACATACAACTGATCATGCTGCAGAGATATGGTCCCATAAGGAAAAACACATACTTTTTCCACCCACATACAATTCATCTTTGTAAAATAAACCATCAAAACTGTGAGAAGCTTGGGCACAGTTGAACATCCAGAATCTTTACAATTTCAGGCTTCTATATTTGGCCTTGAAGAGACCTACTATGCTAAATTTACTTCGCTGAGGTTTTAACCATGGCACTATTGTTCCTCAGCAGTCACAGACCTGAGAGTTGTTTTTAGATCCATCTGTGGTAATATCAGGAACTTCTGGCACAAACATGTAACTCCGCCCTTCTGTCTAAATGCTTCTGTCGCAGTCCTGTATAATATGATGTCATTGTATGTACCACTATGAGATCACGCTCAGAGCAGTTTTCTGAAGTATTGACCATTTATTTTTTGTCAAGTTAAATTACTTTACAATCGCATGACTGTGTTTGCAGCCGGTAATTTTTAAAAGTGGAATAAACAAAAAACAAATTCAACACCTCCCTCTGGTGGTAGCATAGGGATTGGGCAGGACCATTGTTATTTTTTACCCTTGATACTTGTCCCACCATATTTTCTCTACTTCAAATATTATTTAACATTCTAAAACAACTGCATTGTCTCATTATATTTTTCAATGAACAAAAACATTGCAAAATATTTCATCTTTAATTGAGCATCACAAGCAATGCGTTTTTGTGTGTTCCCTGATGGATCATGAGGTCCAGCAGGTCAGAGGCGCACAGTGCATCTAGACTTGACTGCATCTCCTCTAGCTGTAGGCTATGACTCCCTGGGCCATCTCCAACTCTGCCCATAGCAAAAGCAGTCACTTCGTATCCATATAGTGGCTTCTAACTGTATGGCTGACTTAAAGCGTATCACTAGTTTGACTGGCGCTCTCCTTTCCTGCTCCCTAATCCCCAGCTGGGACCTGAATAATGACTTGAGAGCGAACTGTTCGACCTTGAAGCACACCGTCCGTTATTGTCCATGTATGAATTTTTCAATAGCCTTCATTGTACTGTATAAATAATGCTCTCTCTGACCATTACAGCTAAACGTTCATCTTTCAGGGCAAAACAACTTAGCACCATTTATGTAACCGTGTGGAGCGTTCTCTTTTTGTTAGAATCTTTGTTTACATATGGATCGTTAAGATACCGCTTGAAAAGGCATTGCAGCTGCTTTTGAAAGAAATGCCTACCTTGAGGAAACATGCAGCATAAGGGCCGCTATCCCCGCAGCCAATCAGAAAGCATTAATATTTATGATGGTGGAAGGAGACAGCTGACTGCGCTCTAATGCACTGGAGGGCATTTTATGGTACTCGCTTACTGTAATTCAATGTTTTTTTGGTTTAATTTTGAGTGTGCACCATAAGGGAACAAAATACAGTCAGAAACAAATTAGAAAAAGGTTTTGTTTTAGTGAATGAAACTTGATTTCTCCTGCACTATGAAATTGCCTGCTTACACACATTTTTGTGTCTTGTATATCTTGGCACGTTGATGAATAACGCTTGCTACTTTCTGTGCAATATACATTTGTCAGAGTATTGATATATTATCTGACAAGGGAATTGTGTGTATTGCAGTATAGCTGGTTTATTTGTAGATACTTTCATGGCATTTTATTTTGTTTTAATGTTTGCAACTATGTTTTTACTCCTTTTTTATAAGTTAAATAACTGAATTATGTGATGTTTGTGATGTTAATAAAGTTCCAATAATACGCCTGTGTGGACATGTAAATAAATGACACCAACATTATTTAATTGATTATGCCATATTTTCAATGAATTGTGTAATTTAAAATGTGAATATATGTTTAATTAAATACTAGATCTTCATATATTACATATTTAATACATGTCCGTTTCTGACTCGCATCTTTCTGTGTAGAGTAGTTTTCCAGAAGGCCTGTATCTGATTTCTCCACCAGAGGGCACACTCTCTCCAAAGCCATACCTCATTAAAGGGACAGAATGTAGAATCGTGTAGAATGCGCTCTTTGGGGTATATTTATCAAGGGTTTGCGCATGTGCAGAAGTGATAAGCACCTCTTAGCACGCAGGGGTAAACTGGTTTATGATGCATGTGCATCATGTTTAACAAAACCACTAAAATTGTGCAAGCTATTCTATTTTGCACATGCACCTTAATGGATTAGTATACCCCTTACAGTCTTGAAAATGTACAACAATTACAACTAATCTATGGTATGAGTTTCCGGTGTTTACTGCAGACAGAGGACTATGCTGCTCCAGCTGAGCTCTGATCATATGCTGCCTGTGCAGAGGTAGAGACCAAACACTGTATTTCACCCAAGAAATGAGCAACCCAAAGGTCACTCAGTCTGCTTTCTGACTGGAGACTCAGCTTGAGGACCATAATTGTAGATTTTAACATGAAGTAGAAAATCCATCGTCAAGTGCCAACCTCCACCAAGAAGCGCAGTTCAATTTTTTTTTTATCCTGGATTTAGATTATGTAATTTATATCAAGTTATGTTGCTAACAGGATAGACAAACACACAAACCCTGGTGAAAGCCTAATCTCCTTGGCAGAGGTCACAATGTGGCATCATGGCATTGTTTAAAAAATAAGATTAATCATCAAAACAGTTTCTGATAACAATATTTGATTTGGATATGTCATTATGAGACAATGTGTTTTGTCATGTTTCTTAAGTCAGGGTTCTCAAACATATAAATATCTATAGCCCTGAAGCTTCAGCTGCTCCCCAAAACATTTTGAAGCAAGAAATAACAAGCTAATTATTTGTTTGTGGTTCAAACGCCTACAGCTTTATACATTGCCTGTAGCTCACTGGGAACAAGGTTGGAGGCACCTGCTTTCAATTATTTAGCAGTAGCTAAATCAGGTGCACACAATCTTTTCTTCAGTAAGACAAATGGTTTTGTACTTTTTCTCTGAAGAATATAATAATGGAAAGAGACAGGAGAAAAAATGGGCACGCCAATGATTGACATCAGATCAAAATGGTAATATCTGCAACTGATTATTTAGAATTTAAAAAAAAATCCCTACATATACCCTAATCTATTGTAGTTTCTTTCATTCTTTGTATGTTTAAAATTGTATGTATCAAATTTAGGATCAGGTGATGTTATAATCTGTTTATGTTGTCTTGCAGATCGTCTCAGTTTCTCCCTGAAACCCCATTTTGTTGCACGTTTGCCTCAGTCCCTAATTCACAATGTTATTAGTTTACAAAGATTCTTCAGCATTTATGACAGAGAGCCCTCTCCTCTGCTCTCAAAGAACAGGGAAGTGGTTCTCAACAGAAAAATGCTGAATTTGACCTTCACATCTTACCTCATCACTCACTCCCCACTCAAGGTGACTTCTATTCCATTCTGCAAGATAGAAACCGTAACTAAAGCTGTGAAAGCACCTAAATGAAAGAGAATATTGTCTATAAGTGATATACATTAGTCCTGGGGCGGTCTACTACTCTTAATGCTGCAAAGTGGTATAGCTGTCCAATACTGTTAGCGTAAACATACATTATTTAGTAAAAGATGCAGAGGCTGAAGGAGGGAACTGACTGGAAGGAAAAAGCTCTGCTGCCTCTGTTTTTGGAGAAAATTTCCCGTTAAAGTTAAACTCAATCAAGCTCTTTGAAGATGCTGAAGCTATCAAAAGAAAAATGTCTTACTTGATAAAACAAGACACTTGATTAAATGTTAAGTGATTTTCTGGCCAACATCAGCTTGCTAAATTCTCCATGCAAGAACTATAAATAGAAGGTAGTCAATTCTTTAAAGGAAAATGGTTTAAAAAATATTTATCAAGTTCATTTTGTTGGTCACGAATTGCAAATGGTGCAAGAATAATGTTTCTTATTTTAAGTGAGTAAGTAGGGCGGCACGGTGGCTGAGTGGATCGCACTCTCGCCTCTCAGCAAGAAGGTCCTGGGTTCAAATCCCGGTCAGACCAGGGCCTTTCTGAGTGGAGTTCGGCGACCCTGCTCCCATCTCTGTGTGGAGAGGACAAGTGCCCAAAAATAATAACAATTGTAAACCGCTTTGTGACTCTGGTCTGTGAAAGGCGGTATAAAGAATACTTACTTACTTACTAAGTGAGTAAGTAATGTTTATTTATGTAGCACATTTTACAGACCAAGGTCACTCAAAGCGCTTTACAATCTTCAGCGTTCAGTAGTATTTTTCTCATTCCAAGAGAAATCAAGATATTTAGTGTGTGGACAATCCTAAATGATTTGATTGAGTTTTATTTGTATTTATGAGCGTTATTATATTACATGATTTGTTATCATCTTATTTTGTCCTGGGCTAGTGTATGTGTTTGCAAGTGTGGTGTTTATTTGTAAGGTAAAACAAAACAACAACAAAAGAAAACATCCATTGTACCTTTTGTTAATCTTGTTTGACAAAATTGACTACAATCAAGATAAAAATAACCCAATTGAAAGGATAATTTTGATCTGTTTCTGCACGTGGCCTGGATGGACTGTGCATGCCTCTTTTCCTGGATAATGTAGGTTTCTTGCCGTCACTGTGTTGCGTGTGTGTTGTGTGTCAGTCAGTGGAGCTGAATGTTAATGTGCTGCTGGCCCACTGCAGGCGCTGTGAGGAGCATCAGAGCCACAGCCTCTGGGATCACCTGTAAATGTGCACTTGGAATACCATGATTGTACTTTAAGCCAAGTGATGCGTGTGCAGACGTAGGCTCTTGTATTGGATCAGGACTGGTTCCAAAGATGGCGGCCGGTGTCTGGTGCACAGGGCGTGTCTGTTTCTGTGCCAGCTGCTCATGTGAGGCTTGAACTGTATTTGGCAACAAGGAGTGAGCTGCTGCAAAGTACAACTCCCTGAATCAGCCTGCATGATGAGGCGTCTCTGAAGAAATACGAGCAAAAGGCTTGTTCCTAAATCTTTTAGTGCCCATCATGATGTGTTTTTGCTTCTTGTTGTCAATACTGATTTGGGCATTACATAACTGAAGTAACAGCCAA